GTAAGGAGAGAAGCCGATACTGTGGGTATCTGACCAAGTGCATTGACCTGGCTCTTGAATTTGAAGCACATACAGTCTTTGCTGCTTGGTTTGCTGGGCAGGTTCTGTGTTTCATGAAGGATAGGTAAACACATGGGTTCTCTGGCTGGATTTGGATCATTGTTCGTTCTGGTGATTCTCAAACTGATGGGCTTCAGAATCACATGGGGAACTTGTTTGACATAATGTATTTATAAAAGTTCATCACCTTAGATTCTTAGTTGGGAGGTTGAAAACCTGCATTTTAAGGCCGGGCGCGGTGGCTCAAGCCTGTAATCCCAGCACTTTGGGAGGCCGAGGCGGGTGGATTACGAGGGCAGGAGATCGAGACTATCCTGGCTAACATGGTGAAACCCCGTCTCTACTAAAAATACAAAAAACTAGCCGGGCGTGGTGGCGGGCGCCTGTAGTCTCAGCTACTTGGGAGGCTGAGGCGGGAGAATGGCGTGAACCCGGGAGGCGGAGCTTGCAGTGAGCTGAGATCATGCCACTGCACTCCAGCCTGGGCGACAGAGCGAGACTCCATCTCAAAAAAAAAAAAAAAAAAAGAAAACCTGCATTTTAATTTGGGCCTTATCTATATGTCTGCAATTTTAAATAATAATTCTGGCAAGGGGAACATCAGACTTGAGTCCTCTTGCAGGTCTCTCCTGCTTTGTGAGTGTTGAGCTGTTTGACTTCTCTTGTTCTTACCTACAAGACAGAGATGATGATTTTGGCTGAAGCGCCTCCCTCACTGGGTACTTGTTGGAATTAGAAGGAGCTGATGGACAGAAGAAGAAAAAAAAGAAAAAACAACTACAAAGCTAGAAAGCTCTGTACAGACAAGAGACATTATTTATGGCACAAGTTCTTCGGATCCAGTCTGAAATTCTGTTTATAGATTAGAAAAAGCTTAGGACAGGGCTTTTGTATCCTGAGAATTCGGAAGGGCATTCCTTCAGACAGGTTTTGGGTATTTTATAAAATAAGTAACATGTTCTTTTAGTATTTCCTTTTCAGCATGGTAGTATGGACAAGTAGAACTCTCTTCTGTCTTCAGGCGGTTACATTTATCCTGTTTTTGTTTTCTTTTAAATGAAGATTCAGTGTCTCAGATTCATTGATTAAAAAACCCATATTTTCTTCAAGGTTTGCTCTCTAGAATGTGAAGCGTTTTGAAAAGGAAACATTTTTCTTTTGCTCTAGCCAAGGTGATCCTCTATAGTTTTTCTTTTAAGGATTGTTTCAGAAGATTGAGTATAAAGGACTCCTTTTGCGACGTTGACCATAGTTCATTGCAAAGTCCGCAAATAAAAATCCAAGCTTTAGGCCTGATCAGCCTAATCAGATTAGCTTGCAAGCATGTGGGTGACCCAAATATGACTTTTGACAACAGAGAACATTGCTTTGAAACAAGCTGAACCTCAGTCTGTGATCAGGGTTATGAACCACCCGTCATTTTTCTGGTCTGGCACCGTTGTAATATGCCTTTTTTTTTTTTTTTTTTGAGACAGAATCTTGCTCTGTCACCCAGGCTGGAGTGCAGTGGCATGATCTTGGCTCACTGCAACCTCCACCTCCCGGGATGAAGCAGTTCCCATGCCTCAGCCTCCCGAGTAGCTGGAATTACAGGCCTGTGCCACCACATCTGACTAATTCTTGTATTTTCAGTAGAGGTGAGGTTTTGCCAAGCTAGTCTCGAACTCTTGGCCTCAAGTGATCCACCTGTCTTGGCCTCCCAGCACTTTGCTGGGATTACAGGTGTGAGCCACCACTCCTGGCTTGATATCGTACTTTTGAATTCACACATTTAGTTTGTAAAATGTCAAAACCAGATGAATTCATATTTATTTCTGTATCTTCATGACGCTTGCTGCTTTTTTTCTCTTCATTTTCACATGCAAGGGTATAACAGAATGTTCAGTTTTCTCTAAAAGCCTGAAGGGATTCTGTACTTTTACATTGAACTTGACTTTAGTTAGAACCATTAACCTAGATGACTTCAGCCAAATTATGTATCGTTTTTTTTGTTTTGTTTTTTGAGACAGGGTCTCCTGTCACCAAGGCTGGAGTGCAGTGGCACAGTCATGGCTCATGGCAGCCTCAACTTCCTGGGCTCAAGCTATCCTCCCACCCCAGCCTCCCTAGTAGCTGAGACTGTAGTGCACACCATGCCTGGCTGTCTAATTTTTTTGTGTTTTTGTATTTTTTTTTTTTGAGACATAGAGTTTCGTTCTTGTTGCCAGGGTTGGAGTACAGTGGCGCCATTTTGGCTCACTGCAACCTCCGCCTCCTGGGTTCAAGCGAGTCTCCTGCCTCCGCCCTGAGAGTAGCTGGGATTACAGGCGCCCACCACCACGCCCAGGTAATTTTTGTATTTTTAGTAGAGACGGGGTTTTGCCATGTTAGCCAGGCTGGTCTGGAACTCCTGACCTCAGGTGATCCACCTGCCTCGGCCTCCCAAAGTGCTGGGATTACAGGTGTGAGCCACCACGCCTGGCCAGTATTTTTGTATTTTTTTGTAAAGACGGGGTTTGCTATATTGCAGGCTGGTCTTGAACCTCGGGCTCAAACAATTCATCCATCTCTGCCTCCTAAAATGCTGGGATTACAGGTGTGAGTCACTGTGCCTGGCTCAAATTGTTATGTAGCTGTAACTTGTGAAGGTCTATCTGTTTCCCCTTTGGCTTAATCTGATTTGGAAAGTAATGTTACCTTAGTCCCTGGAGTACAGAAGCTTTCTCTGTACTCTACTGAGGTTGTATCCGGCAGCTTCATTAATTTGGTTATCTAGGTGAGCAGGTCAAGCCTTAGAGTCAAATTTCTAGGCTCCTCAATCTAGAACCTTAAATCTTGAGAGGGATGTGTGTGTGTGTGTGTGTGTATCAAAATTTAACTCTCGTTTCCTTGTATTAGAGGCTCTCAGGTTCTGAAATGTGAAATGGAAATAGCCTTCATAGACATGTTTCTGAGTGTGAGGAGAGGCAGTTCTTTGTCCTGTGACCATTTGAAAGCAAACCAGGTTACCCACCAATGCCTAGAACTTTGTAAGTGGCATTAAGAGATAATTTATAATTGTAAAATGACCTATCAGCAGTTTGGGGCTGGGTGTCGGGGCTCATGCCTGTAATCCCAGCACTTTGGGAGGCCAGTGCAGGAGGACTGCTTGAGCCCAGGAGTTTAAAACTAGCCTGGGCAACATAGCAAGAGACCCTGTCTGTATTTAAAAGATAAAATATATATATATATATAAAGGCAGTTTGGAATTCTATTTGTCTTGCCTTATTTACTTTTTAAAAATTTCTACCTTAGGTTTTTCCTGGTTTACTTTGAGTGTCTTTTTGCAGTCTGAGGAGATTGTTGGTGAGGCTGGGTGTAGGTATGAGGCAGAGGAGGAAGAGCAATTTATTCCATCTACTGAGCCTTTCATTTACTTTCTGTTTTGGTGGTAGAGTGGGATGTGGGAAGCTTTTGTTGGGTGAGAGTCGGTCTATCAGGGTAAATCTTAAAAAGCTGGATTTGTGGCTCTTACTAGTTACTATGTCTCCAGTGGAGACAGAGATTAGTTTTTAAGATTTAGCCTTAATGGATGATTCACAAATTGCAATGCAGAGTATCGAAGTGAAGTCCAAGGTCAAGCATACAAGTGGGTAGACTGAACATATGAAGGGGGTGTGGGGTTGGCACCCACCTCTGACCTTTGCTGAAATAAATGAGGGAGACAGTGCTGTAAGTGGAATGCCATGGACCAGGAGTTAAGACCAGAGTCCTCTGCTAGGCCCTGCGTCTGAAGTCTGCAGAGCATGGCTTTTCATTGGCTCAGTGAAGAGTTGAGTCCTGGTTCAGAAAAAGTTACTGAGGTCTGTAAAAATCAGTAGGATACTGGAACAAGAAAGAGTGGGAGAGTGCCTAGTTCCCAGCAAATGTTGCCAGTGGAAGCTAATTTTCACCAGTGAAGGGTGATTTTGATAGAAAAGCACAGTGTCTCAACTACTTTTGGTTTTGACTCTGAAAGAGGAGGCTTTGACCGGAGGGATAATACAAGTGGCCTACCACCTGTCTGGCTTTTTCCCCACAGGTTGCAAGCTGCAGGGAGGGCCTTGCTAATTCTAGTACCTCCATCCCCGAATCATCTAAATGTATTTTACCCAGGACCTGTCATGGTTTATCTCAGTGACGAGTTTTCCTTTTCTCTCGCTTATTTATCGTGTTCATATTCATATTTTTCATAATGGGGCCTGTTTATATATTTTGAAGTAGTTCTAGTGATTTTAAGATCCAGCAAAACTTCAAGGTCATCTGGATTTTGGCATTCTACTTAAGTTTTCTAACCTGATACATTCTTGTTTTTGTTTTTGGGTGTTTTGTGTGTTTTTCTACAAAATGTGAGAGAGTTAAGCATGTATAATTATATATGACTGCTGTTTTCACTTTGAAATTTTAAATCCTGCTTGGGAGAATGGAATAAGCTATTGTATTTTTTGCAGGCAGCTATGGGATACCCCAATTTGTCCCTCCCTCCTCAATTTTGAAGGCTGAGAGAGGAAGTAATTTCTTTTTTTTTTGGTGGGGATGGGGTTTCACTATGCTGTCCAGGCTGGTCTCCAACTCCTGAGCTCAAGTGATCTGCCCTCCTTGGCCTCCCAAAGTGCTGGGATTACAGGCCTGAGCCACCGTTCCTGGTCCGAAGAAGTAATAATTTTAAGATTCAGTGTTGAGTGAAATACATTTATTCTTTAAAATTTCTAAGAGTCTTTAACTCTCTAACCTAATATTTAATATTTTCCCCAGTCATTAAGAAGTGCTTTTTGTTGTTGTTGTTTTCCAGGCAGGGTCTCGCTCTGTCATCCAGGCTGGAGTGCAGTGGCATGATCACGGCTCACTGCAGCCTCGACTTCCCGGGCTCAAGTGATTCTCCCACCTCAGCCTCCCAAGCAGCTGGAACTGCTCAGCTATTTTTTTTATTTTTGTAGAGACAAGGTCTGGCTATGTTCCCTAGGCTGGTCTCAAACTCCTGGACTCAAGCAGTCCTCCACCGTTCCTGGCCAAGAAGTGCCTTTTTTTTTTTTTTTTTAAAGTAGGTGCTGAACACATGAGAATCTGCCTTTTTGTTGAATCTTTTTTTTTTTTTTTTTTTCTTTTTGAGACGGAGTGTTGCTGTTGTCGCCCAGGCTGGAGTGCAGTGGTGCTATCTCGGCTTACTGCAGCCACCGTCTCCCAAGTTCAAGTGACTCTCCTGCCTCAGCCTCCTGAGTAACTGGGATTACAGGTGCATGCCACCACCATGCCCGGCTAATTTTTGTATTTTTAGTAGAAACGGGGTTTCACCATGTTGGTCAGGCTGGTCTCAAACTCCTACCTCGTGATCCACCTGCCTCGGCCTCCCAAAGTGCTGGGATTACAGGCATGAACCACCACGCCCAGCCTGAATCATGTTTTTTTGAAACCATTGGCATCTGAACCTGTAATTCTGTCGGGTAGTGTTGTGTGGTTTTAAATGTCATGTGAGCTGAGTTACTGACCTCAACCTACTGCCAGGTGAAGGTGTGATCCTGTGATACCAATCTTGAGGGTCCCTGCTAGTTTTAGCAGTCAGTGACTTCTCTCGTGTTTATTTTTGTTTGAAAAAGAAAAAGGCTCTCTTTTTGGCTATAGAGTTGCATCTTGAAATTTTTGACTAATTACATAGAGCTGAAGAAGGATACAAGTTTTGATATCTTAAAATCGTAGGATTGAGGCTTGAAAGGACGGTATTGGCATTGCAGCTAAGTGGGAGTGTGAGGAAGCACCTTCTCTAGGGCAGGTGATTGCATTTGTTAGTGTGGCTCTTGGCCCCCTGAGTTGCTCCTTTCCAGTCAGAATTTCTTTAGCATTAGCAAGTGATGCCTGAAGTAATCTCAGGTAGGACTTCTAACTTTTTTCCAAATTATTTTTGTGCAGAGGTTTATCGAGGAGATTTTTCTTCTAAATGTCCTCCTTCCCACTTATTTTATTGTTACTGCTTTTTTCTCTTTTTAATTTTTTTTTTTTTAATAGTGACATGGTCTCACTATGTTGCCCAGACTGATCTCAAACTCCTGGGCTCAAGTGATCATCCTGCCTCAGCCTCCGAAAGTACTGGGATTATAGGCATTTGTGCCTGGCCCTGTTACTGTTTTTCTAACCCGAGTTACTTAGGATCATATTTTCATTCTTTTGTAAAAAGGTGGGAGTTTTCTGAACTTTTCCTTAACTAAAAAGTGGAATGCATCTTTGTATTTTCCTTTTTTTACTCATATTTCTCACCAGGGAGGGAAAAACATTTATTGTGACAGAATTTAGCATATTTTAGGCCATATTAAAATACTGATAAATGTATTAATCAGTGAAGATTGGTTATAGTGAAAAATATATACCATTTGATTAATGTGTGTTATTAGAAAAATGGCAGGAACTGCTGTAAGAATTGCTAACATTGTATTGGAAAATGAATATACTAAGCTAAGAAACAATGGGAAACTCATATTTAGGGCCATCAGCCTTTTTTTTTTTAAAAAAAATCCCTTCTAATTTATTAATATCTAGTCTAATAAACCCTGATTTATAGGACCTTTGCACCTTTTTTTGACTTTTTAATTCATCCACTCTTAAAATTCTACTCTTGACAAAATCCTTTGTCTCCATTATTGATGAAATGAGAACAGACTTTTGTTTTTGTATGTTGGTGTTCTCTGAGAGGTGAAGGCCCAGGGAGAATGTTTTGTTTGGTGGTCATGTAGCATTTGAAAACGTCCACTTCCACGTGAAATGTGACTTAGCTGGGTGTCTTTTAACATCTGGAATCCACATCCCTGGTTGAAATCTCTGGAGACAATTACCTTTCACCAACTTGTCTGCTGAATTGCGCCATGGATCAAGATTGCAGTGGCTGCATCAAGTCTTGGCCTGCCCTGAAGTCTGGATTTGTAAGTCCCCCATTTCACGCATAACGCTCTTGTCTCCTTCTTATTTTCAAAGAATTGGAGCTTACGCAGAGGGCAGAGGAGGCACTGTGCCTTTCACTGTCCTGGAGCCAGTTGGTCTTTTGGTTTTGGTGAACCCTGCTTTTTAAGAGGACTCCCTGGCATCTTCCAGTTTCCTGCTACTTGTTTTATGTATTATTTTGTATCTGTGTTTGTCCTGTTTGTGCTGTAGCTCCTTTCACTGTCTTCTGTAAGTTCAACTTCTTCAATAAAAGAAATTGGATGAAAAATGGTTCTGTGATTATGGTTTGTGGGCTGGGTTCTGATGCTTCATTTATGTTCTTCATATGGAATTCTGTCTCATTTCCCTGGTTCTAAATGTGACCAGCAGACCCAGAGTTCCATCTCGACTTCATAAAGGAGCTGTCTTGGACTGGGAACAGCTGCCGATGTCTTTGTTGAGATGGGAGTTGGAAAGTGATAGCACTTTGCCAGCAAGATTAACCGGGGAGATCAAATTGAGTCAGGGTGAGTGAGGGTGTTGGGTCAAAGTTGCACTCCAAAAGATTGGATACCTCTGCTGAAGACCTCTGCCTGAGCTCCAAGGCTGGAGAGCAGCTCTTACCTGTGTCCTGACCGGCTTTCAATGCGCGTATCCTTAAGTCATCTGCCTCTACAAATTCCTACAAACCACTCATTCCCCTTTAATCCCTAGCATGTTCCCCTAGTGGCTGCTCTGAATTCTCACCCCTGTTCCAGGTGATACTCTCCCCACTTGCCTTGCCCTGCCCCTCTTCCATAAGCTCCGGACAGGTCAACTTTAGGGAACAGATTGAGGCAGATGGGTGTGACTTCTGATCTGACCTGTTCTCCAATTCTGAATATCAACCGAGTTTTATATCTCAGCCTTCCCTTCCGAGTTGGAGGAATGGTACTTGTCTTGGCCTCTCCCCTCTTACTCCTGCCCTTTTCTTTGGGTGGTCTCTCTTGCCAGCAACCAGCATTTTTTTTTTCCACTTGGCATTTTACCTCTGTTCATGAACATACATAGAACCACTTTCTCCTGGTGAAAGACATTTCTCTTACAAAACGTTTAGTTTTGAAATAATTAAAAATATATAAATAGTGGGGCCGGGCGCGGTGGCTCACGCCTGTAATCCCAGCACTTTGGGAGGTTGAGGCGGGCGGATCACAAGGTCAGGAGATCGAGACCATCCTGGCTAACACGGTGAAACCCCGTCTCTACTAAAAATACAAAAAATTAGCCGGGCACGGTGGCAGGCGCCTGTAGTCCCAGCTACTCAGGAGGCTGAGGCAGGAGAATGGCGTGAACCTGGGAGGCGGAGCTTGCAGTGAGCCGAGATCGCGTCATTGCACTCCAGCCTGGGCGACAGAGCGAGACTCCGTCTCAAAAAAAAAAAAAAAAAAAAAAAAAAAAAAAAATATATATATATATATATAAATGTAAGACTACTACAAAGAACTTCCCTTTGTCTAGACTAACTGAACATTTTGCTGCATTTGTGTTATTATACATGTATTTGTTTTTTTGTTTTTGTTTTTGTTTTTTGAGACAGTCTTCCTCTGTCGCCCAGGCTGGAGTGCAGTGGCTGGATCTCAGCTCACTGCAAGCTCCGCCTCCCGGGTTTATGCCATTCTCCTGCCTCAGCCTCCCGAGTAGCTGGGACTACAGGCGCCCGCCACCTCGCCTGGCTAGTTTTTTGTATTTTTTTTTTTTTTTTTTAGTAGAGACGGGGTTTCACCGTATTAGCCAGGATGGTCTCGATCTTCTGACCTCGTGATCCTCCCGTCTCGGCCTCCCAAAGTGCTGGGATTATAGGCTTGAGCCACCGTGCCCGGCCTATGTATTTGTTAAACCATTTGAGAATTACAGACATCATGCCCTTTTACTCCTAAATACTTTTAAGTGTACATTTCCTGAGAACAAGGACATTCTCATAACCACAATACTGTTATCAAAAGCAGAAAACATTAATATAATGTAGAGTCCACGTTCAAATTTTACATAATTTCACCGAGAATAACAGTTCTTGCAGCATTTTTGTTTTTTCCCAATCTGGGATTCAATTCAGAATAGTGCATTGCCTTTAGTTGTTGGGTCTCTCTTTTGTTTTATTTTATTTTTTATTTTATTTTTTTGAGATGGAGTCTCGCTCTTTTGCCCAGGCTGGAGTGCAGTGGCGCGATCTCGGCTCACTGCAACCTGCGCCTCCCAGGTTCACACCATTCTCCTGCCTCGGCCTCCTGAGTAGCTGGGACTACAGGTGCCCATCACCACGCCCGGCTAATTTTTTGTATTTTTAGTAGAGATGGGGTTTCACCGTGTTAGCCAGGATGGTCTCGATCTCCTGACCTCGTGATCCGCCAGCCTCAGCCTCCAAAGTGCTGGGATTATAGGCGGGAGCCACCGCGCCCTGCCAGTTGTTGGGTCTCGAGTCACCTTTCATCTCTAACAGTTCCTTAGCCTTTCTTTGGTTTACATGGCATTTTATTTTGGCCAGGTGTGGTGACTCACACCTGTAATCCCAGCACTTTGGGAAACTAAGGCGGGCGGAAAGCACTTGAGGCCAAGGAGTTCGAGACCAGCCTGGCCAACATGGAGAAACCCTGTCTCTACTAAAAATACAAAAGTTAGCTGGGTGTGGTGACGGGCGCCTATAATCCCAGCTACTGAGGAGGCTGAAGCATAAGAATCATCAGAACCTGGGAAGTGGAGGTTGCAGTGAGCCAAGATTGAGCTACTGCACTCTAGCCCGTGTGACAGAGACTCAAAAAAAAAAAAAAAAAAAAAAGTTATTTTGTAGAATATCCTGTAATTTGGGTTTGTCTGTTTCCTTATGATTAGATTCAGATGTATTTTTTTGGCAGTAATACTACTGAAGCAATGTGCCCTCCATGTATTGGATCAGAGTGGCCCCATCGCTGATGGTGGTAACTTTTTTTTTTTTTTTTGAGATGGAGTCTTACTCTTTCGCATAGGCTGGAGCATAATGGCACAATCTTAACTCACTGCAACCTCCACCTCCTGGGTTCAAGTGATTCTTGTGCCTCAGTCTCCCAAGTAGCTGGGATTACAGACGTAAGCCATTGTGCCCGGCCTATTTTTTCATTCTATAAAAATTGGCATCATACTATGCACCTTTTCTGCATCTTTTTTTTTTTTTTTGAGACAAGGTCTCATTCTGTCACCCAGGCCCCAGAGTGCAGTGTTGTGATTACAGTCCACTGCAGCCTCGAACTCCTGGATGCAGGTAATCCTCCCACCTCACTGTCTTGGGTAGCTGGGACTACAGGTGAGTGCCACCGTACCCAGCTAATTTTTTGTATGTTTTGTACAGATGGGGTTTCACCATGTTGCCCATGCTGGTCCCAAACTCCTGGACTCAAGCGATCTTCCTGCCTTGGCCTCCCAAAGTGTTGGCATAGATGTGAGCCACTGTGCCTGGCCTGCATCTTGCTTTTCTTATTAGTACTTCATGGAAATCTCTTAGCTGCTGGAGGTCAGATTCATCCTTCTGATGTTTGGGTGATGTCCTAGGTGCAGGTGCACTGATTCATTCACTTCTCTATAATGGTTCACTTTTGGTTTTTGCTCCTATGAATGATGCTGCAGCAATCACTCTTCAACAGTGGCCTTTCACAAAGGAGTCATTTAAATTACTACCCCTACCCACTCCACTGAAACACATTTTATTTTATTTTTTTGAGACGGAGTTGTGTTCTTGTTGCCCAGGCTGGAGTGCAATGGTGCGATCTCACCGCAACCTCTGCCTCCTGGTTCAAGCGGTTCTCCTGCCTCAGCCTCCCAAGTAGCTGGGATTACAGGCATCCACCACCACACCCAGCTAATTTTGTATGTTTAGTAGAGACGGGGTTTCTCCATGTTGGTCAGGCTGGTTCTTGAACTCTCAATCTCAGGTGATCTGCCCACCTCAGCCTCCCAAAGTGCTAGGATTACAGGTATGAGCCACTGCGCCCAGCCATTGAAACACATTTTAAAGATTGCCATGAGCCTGGTGTGGTGGCACGTGCCTGTTGTCTCAGCTACTTGGGAGGCTGAGGTGGGACGATCAGCTGAGCCCAGGAGTGCAAAACCAGCTTGGGCAACATAGCAAGACCCCATCTCAAAAGATTGCCATGAACCCTTTTTTAATTAAAATAAAAATCAATTGCATGATTTAGGCTATAAACATCTTCCATAATCTCACCTGCCAGAGATGACTGCCATTAATTTTGGAGTATATGTCTCCAGGCTCTTTTTTTATGCATGTGCCAACATGTACATGCATATATTCTTAACAGAAATGGACTTTACATACACTTCAGCTTTTTCACTGGTAACCTCTTAATTGCCTTTTTCAATGGCCGTTTCTTTCCCTTATCACCTTAGCTCACTTTGTAGCATCCCATGCTCCTAGCTGTCTTGTGTGTTTCTCCCTCTTTCTGTAGCCACTCCTCAAGTTTCAGTCCCCAGATTTCCAGGTATTCGTTTTTATTATTTCTTTTTCTTTTTTTTTTTTGAGACAGGGTCTCACTCTGTCATCTAGGCTGGAGTGTAGTGGTACGATCTCAGCTCTCTGCAGCCTCAACCTCCTGGGCTTAAGCAGTTCTCCCACCTCAGCCTCCTGAGTAGCTGGGCATGTAGGTGTGTGCCACCACACCTGGCTAATTTTGGATTTTTTGTAGAAATGGGGTCTCAGTGTTGCCCAGTCTGGTCTCAAACTCCTGGATGCAAGTGATCCTCCTGCCTTGGCCTGTTTTTTAATTCCTAACTGGACAGCCTAGTATCACATGCATTAAACCACTTTCCCTCCTTGCTCCTTTTTTTTGGAAGTGGTTCTGGCATTTCTGTTAACTTGGTTCTTGGCTTCCAAATCTCCTTCCTTTAGGCTGTCCTCTCTCCTTTGGTCCTTAGGTGTGAGCTGGTGCCAAGACACTGCTAGATTAGAGCATTCTTGGGTACCGTTCAGTCTTCTCCCTCCAGCTTGTGCTGATGAATTTTATTTTTTTGAGACAGAGTCTTACTCTTGTCGCCCATGCTGGAGTACAATGGCTTGATCTTGGCTCGCTGCAACCTCTGCCTCCCAGGTTCAAGCAATCCTCCTGCCTCAGCCTCCCAAGTAGCTGGGATTACAGGAACCTGCCACCACACCTGGCTAATTTTTTGTATTTTTAGTAGAGACAGGGTTTCACCATGTTGGACAGGCTGGTCTCATTTGAACTCCTGACCTCAGGTGATCCTTCTGCCTTGGCCTCCCAAAGTGCTGGGAGTACAGCTGTGAGTCACTGCACCTGGCTGCTGGTGAACTTTCATAGTTGCCCTTCATTTTATTCAGACTGGCCAGGTATTCAAGATTCTACTTTCTGCTGCCAATTTTTTTTTTTCTTCTCTCCCATGATTTCTCCCTCCCTTCTGCCCCCAGGGCCCTTCAGGTCAAGCCAAGCTGGCTCACTTGGTCTGTCTCCTGTGCATGTCCTGGGCTTAACTATTTCTTGGCTGTCCCCCTGCCATCCTAGAGTGCCTTCTGGACTCTTGCCTGGTGGGACTTGCTGACAAGGTGGATTGGTGCTCCAATGACCCTAACAAAACTCTGTCATCTGTCTCATATGGAGGCCTTGCTGACCCAATAGAAACGTTCCCTTTATATTCCCAGAGAAGAGCTCTGTTCTGTCTGCTCTCCCGAAGTCCTGACTTGCAAGGGCACTGGAAGGCGGGTGGGGAGGGTATATGCAGCGGAAATGAGGGGCCCTCATTTTTCTAATCTGTTTATTGTACTTGTACTACCACATGGCCTCCTAAGATTCTTCTACTTCTGTAGAAAGTGTGATCCCCTTTAGAAAGCCTCTGGCATTAAGTCAGGAGTAAAGAAACTTGTGAAACCCCATGGCTTCTGCAGGACAACTCCTCTCTATCAGGGGAAGAAAGGCTCAGATGCAAGCTTGGCAAAAGCTTTTTGCTGGAGAAATCTCTGGGAAAAGGGATGCTCATCAAATGCTTGCTGGGAGTGTCCATGGGCAAGGGGCAGCCACCCTCTCCCTTGACCTTGACTTCTTTTCCACCTTTTTGTGACCTGGCTAAGTCAACCTTCCACGGGGTCCTTACAACGACTGGAGTTAAGTTGACTATGATTCCCTATTCTAGGTCAAGACTAATGTCTTCTGAAGACTTAGCAGAGATCCCTCAACTCCAAAAGGTAAGACAATTATCTGAACTAATAAAGGGTGGGGCATTCCAGAGTCACCCAAAACCTCACTTACCAGCATGGAAGTACAGTGGTTTCTGCATTGGGGAGGGGGTTGCATACTCAGACGTTTACCGGGCAGGTAACTTAAGTGTACTTTTTTTGTTGTTTTTTTGAGACAGAGTCTTGCTCTGTCGCCCAGGCTAGAGTGCAGTTGCACCATCTCGGCTCACTGCAACCTCCGCTTCCCGGGTTCAAGCAATTCTCCTGCCTCAGCCTCCTGAGTAGCTAGGATTACAGGTGTAATTTTTGTATTTTTAGCAGAGACAGGGTTTCACGATGTTGGCCAGGCTGGTCTCGAACTCCTGACCTCATGAACCGCCTGCCTCTGCCTTCCAAAGTGCTAGGATTACAGGCATGAGCCACTACACCTGACCTAAGTGTACTTTTAAAGGGCTGCCTGAAACTGGGTATGGTGGCTAACACCTGTAATCCCAGTACTTTGTGGGCCGAAAGCAGGAGGATCGCTGAGCCCAGGAGTTTAGACCTGCCTGGGCAACATAGTAAAACCCCCATCTCTACAAAAAGTAAAAAATTACATAGTGGCACATGCCTGTGGTCCCAGCTACTCCAGAGGCTGAGGTGGGAGGATTGCTTGAGCCTGGGAGGTCAAGGCTGCAGTCAGCTATGATCTCGCCATTGCACTTATCCTGGGCAACAAAGTGAGACCCTGTCTCTAAAAAAACAAAACAAAAAAGCTACATGAGTCAAATGCAACACACCCGAGCCCCCTGATGTACAGTCTGTACATGGACTCCACTTCTCTACTTAATTTTGTCCAGCAGGTTGTGATAATGGTGGGATGGGCTGTAAGAGTTTTTATCAAGCCAGGTTTGTATTGTCTGTTATGTGCTTGGGGCTGGGGAATATAGAGATAATTAATACAAATTAGATTAAGATTAAGTTAAACATGCCCTTGCCTTTGAAGAGCTCACTATGAGACAAGGAGTAATAACAAGAGCTGTCATTTATTGTGTAATTACAGTTTACTAGGGCTTCACATGTATTCAGGTGTCATTTAGGTCTCAACCACAACCCTGCAAGGTAGGGACTGTGGCTCTCTGTTTTGCAGATGAGGAAACCTGTGGCTCAGAGAATGACGTGATATGCCTAAGTTAAAATAGCCTGTAAGTGGGGGAGCCAGACAGAATTCCAACCCAGAGCTCTGGGGCTCTGTAGCCGTGTGCTTCCCCTCATGGCTTGCTGCCTACATGTATGGACAGACATGCACACTTACTATGCCTTGAGGGGCAGATATGAACAAAGACCTGGGAATATGGAGGTGGCGGCAGTGATGACCGTCATCTGAAAGTTATGGAAGAGCTCCTGGTGGGGAGGTTCTATTTGATCGAGAGTCTGAAGAGTGGGTAGGGGTTCACCTCTGAGGGAGACGGGCTGGATTGTATATGGGAGACAATGTGAGTAAGCACGGAATGCTTACTGGGCTTGGGGATGGTGGGAGCAGGTGGTGTGCCTGGAACATGGTACATGCTTGAAACTAGAAAGATAGATCAGAGCTGGTTAGGAAGTGTTTTGAATGCTACACTCAGGAGTTGGGGTGAAGAGTGTCAGAGTCAGGGTAAAATCATTGATCAGATTTGCTGCCTAGAAGCCAGGTGTGGTGGCCCATGCCTGTAATCCCAGCACTTTGGGAGGCTGAGGCTGGAGGATCACCTGAGGTCAGGAGTTCGAGGCCAGCCTGGTCAACATGGCGAAACCCTGACTCTACTAAAAATACAAGAAATTAGCTGGGTGTGGTGGCTTATGCCTGTAGTCCCAGCTACTTGAGAGGCTGAGACAGGAGAATCACTTGAACCCAGGAGGCAGAGGTTGCAGTGAGCCGAGATCATGCCATACTCTAGCTGGGTGACAGAGTGAGACTCTGTTAAAAAAAAAAAAAAAAAGCCGGGTGCGGTGGCTCATGCCTGTAATCCCAGCACTTTGGGAGGCCGAGATGGGCGGATCACGAGGTCAGGAGATCGAGACCATCCTGGCTAACACGGTGAAACCCCGTCTCTACTAAAAATACAAAAATTAGCCGGGCGCGGTGGCGGGTGCCTGTAGTCCCAGCTGCTGGGGAGGCTGAGGCAGGAGAATGGCGTGAACCCGGGAGGCGGAGCTTGCAGTGAGTGGAGATTGCACCACCGCACTCCAGCCTGGGCGACAGAGCAAGACTCCGTCTCAAAAAAAAAAAAATTGCTGCCTAGAAAGATGATTGGTGCCAGTGTTGGGAGGTGGATGGGAAGAGAAGGCCGAACTCTGGTCTCAGTTAGTGGTGGTCATTGTACTTGTCCCAGCAAAAGACTAGAGTTTGAGGCGAGCAGGGGTGTGGGAGAGGAGGCTTATATGTAGGTGGTGGATCCCAGGAATAATTAACTGGAGGGACAGTAGAATGCATAGGAGGAAGAGGGAAGAGCTGAAGGTGGTACTGAGATTTCTAATTTGGGACCTGGGTGGGTGGTGAGAGCTTTCACGTGCTCCTGTGTTGGGCTCCATGGAGGCAGGGACCCTCAGGGTGTTCACAGTATATCCACAGTGCTGTATCCACAGTGCCTGGCACTCAGTCAATGTGTGTAGACCCTTGGCAAATGAATGAAAGGTCACAGGAGGACGAGCACATTTGCTCTTTAGTTGGGGCTAAGGTGGGGAGAGTGAGCAATTCAATCTCTTGTCTCTTGTCTTTTTGGACTAAAGTCTTCTCAACTTCCCAGGGCCCAAAGCAATGTGTCTCAGTGAGCAGCACTGCCTGCCTGCCACTCAGGCCATCTAATTGTCCACGTTTGGAGCCTTAGGGGAGGCAGCCTTTGATGGCCTGAGCTTTGGTGACCTGACACATTATGCTAAGTATCTGTATGAGTCTCACAGAGGGGTGATGAGAGGAAGCATCATGAGGCCTAGAGGGGTGGGGAAGGCTTTTGGGGGGGATCTGAGAAGGATGAGTAGAAGGGGGAAGTAAGGGAGAACCCCCAGTGGAGGGGTCTGTTTGAGCATTGGTGTGTTGGTAGCAAGGCCAGGGCTGGGGCAGGTGAGCTTATCTGACCCAGATGGGACATCTGGACTGGTCAGGACCAGGTCAAATTAAGGAAGATGGAGCTGGATTCCTTGGGGTCTTTTTTTTTTTTGAGAAGGAGTCTTGCTCTGTTGCCCAGGCTGGAATGCAGTGGCACAATCTCAGCTCACTGTAACCTCCATCTCCTGGGTTCAAGTGATTCTCCTGCCTCAGCCTCCTGAGTAGCGGGGACTACAGGCACACGCCACCACACCCGGCTAATGTTTTTGTATTTTTAGTAGAGATGGGGTTTCTACCATGTTGGTCAGGCTGGTCTCAAACTCCTGACCTCAAATGATCCGCCCTCCTCGGCTTCCCAAAGTGCTGGGATTACAGGTGTGAGCCACCGCGCCCAGCCCCCTGGGGTCCTGAATTCTGACCACTGAAGATTTGAAGTGATATAGTTACTGAACTGAGGTCCCTTATAAATGAACACCGTTATGTGTAAGGTAGGACTTGGCTGTATCCTCCTTGAGCCTCACGTGTGGCATCTGTAAAAGGGGAGCAATGGTTCCCTCTCCAAAGTCAGGAGAGTCTAGATTTTTCTTTATCTTCTTAGGTCTAAAAATGGTTAAGAATTATGTGTTTCTCCATGGAATACTATGCAGCCATAAAAAAGGATAAGTTCATGTCCTTTGTAGGGACATGGATGAAGCCGGAAACCATCATTCTGAGCAAACTACCACAAGGACAGAAAACCAAACACCGCATGTTCTCACTCATAGGTGGGAATTGAACAATGAGAACACTTGGACACAGGGTGGGGAACATCACACACCAGGGCCTGTCGTGAGGTGGGGGGAAGGGGGAGGGATAGCATTAGGATATATACCTAATCTAAATGATGAGTTAATGGGTGCAGCACACCAACATGGCACATGTATACCTATGTAACAAACCTGCATGTTGTGCACATATACCCTAGAACTTAAAGTATAATAATAATAAAAAAGAATTATGTGTTTCTGTCAGTAACATCATAACACTACTTACCTTGTTCTTTCTCAAAGAGTCTCTCTTTAAATCATGTGCTGAAAATGTTTGGCTCAGGAAATTGAAACATTCAGTCCCTGGTTCTTGTTATATTCGTTCCAGCTGTCTGTCCCACATGGCTTCCAGAACAAGGAGGCTGTTAGCTCCCCAACACCATCCATCACCCTTAGCCAGGTGCCCGACCTCCAGCCTGGGTCCCAGCTGTTTACTGAGGTACACCTGGCCAAGATAGAGAAAATGTTTGAGGAGGACATCAACTCGACTGGAGGTAAGGCCTCTCTGTAGGCTCGGTTTTTGTGTGAGTTCTGCAACAGGGCAGGACCCAGTACCTGGGGTATGTGGAGGGTTCAGACATGATAAGCATTTTGTTTTTGTTTTTGAGATAGGATATTGCTCTGTCGCCCAGGCTGGAGTGCAGTGTTATGATCACCACAGCAGCCTCCACCTCCCATGCTCAAGCGATTCTTCCGTCTCAGCTCCCAGAGTAGCTGGGACTACAGGCACATGCCACCACTCCTGGCTAATTAAATTTTTTTTTTTTTTTAGAAACAAGGGCTTGCTGTTAGGTTGGTGAAAAGTAATTGCAGTTTTGCTATTAAAAGTAATGGCAGAAATCGCAATTGCTTTTGCACCAACCTAATAAGTGGTCCAGGCTCGTCTGGAACTACTGGGCTCAAGTGATCCTCCTACCTTGGCCCCCGGAGTAGCTGAAACTACAGGCACATGCCACCATGTCTGGCTAATTAAAAAAATAATAATTGTAGAGACAAGGTCTTGCTACGTTGCCCAGGCTGGTCTCAAACTCCTGGACTCAAGCAGTGCCTCCTGCCTTGGCCTCCCAAAGTGCTGGGATTACAGGTGTGAGCCACCATGCCCAGCCCTGATCAGCATCTTTGCATCTAGTTTCTCCTGTAAAACTTTCAAGCATTATGTAGGTATTGCAAGCATATTGGAGGCTATTTGGGATCTAGAAAATTTTAAAAAATATCCCTAGTCCAAATACCCAAATGTAACCACTGTTAGCATTGCGATGTATGTATTTTCTTCCAGTTTCATATGTATGGTTTATTGTCTATTGCTGTGTGACAGTACCAAAATCTTAGTGGCTTAAACCAATGCACGTTTATCACTTCACAGTTCTGTTGGGGCAGGAGTCTGGGCATGGCTTAGCTGGCTTCTCTGTTCAGGCTCTCATAAGGCTGCAATCAAGTTGTTGGCTGGGGCCGGGTACAATGGCTCATGCCTCTAATCCCAGCACTTTTGAGAGGCCAAGGTGGGCAGATCACTTAAGGTCAGAAGTTCAAGAGCAGCCTGGCCAACATGGTGAAACCCTGTCTCTACTAAAAATACAAAAATTAGCTGGGCGTGGTGGCACGGGCCTCCTAATTCCAGCTACTTGGGAGGCTGAGGCAAGAGAATTGCTTGAACCTGGGAAGCAGAGGTTGCAGTGAGCCAAGATCACGCCACTATACTCCAGTCTAGACCACAGAGTGAGACTCCATCTAAAAAAAAAAAAAAAAGTTGTCGGCTGGGGCTGTGGAATCATCTCAGGCTTGACTGGGGAAGGAACCACTTCCAAACTCACTCAGGTTGTTGGCAGAATTCAATTCCTTGCTGCTGTGTGACTGAGGGCTTCTGTTTCTTCCTGACTGTTGGCAGGAGGCTACCTTCAGCTTCTAGAGGCTGCCCACAGTTCCTGGCCATGCAGGATTCGCCAGCAGAGCTGCTTGCAAGGCTCAAGCCAACAACAGGGAGAAAAACTCCAGCAAGATGGGTGTTGCAATCTCTCTTTTTTTTTTTTTTTTTGAGATGGTGTTTCGTTCTTGTTGCCCAAGCTGGAGTACAATGGCACGATCTTGGCTCACCGCAACCTCCGCCTCTGGTTCAAACGATTCTCCTGCCTTAGCCTCCCAAGTAGCTGGGATTACTGGTATGTGCCACCACGCCCAGCTATGTTTTGTATTTTTGGTAAAGACAGGGTTTCTCCATGTTGGTCAGGCTGGTCTCGAACTCCCGACCTCAGGTGATCCGCCCGCCTCGGCCTCCCAAAGTGCTAGGATTATAGGCGTGAGCCGCTGCACCCGGCCAGGTGTTGTAATCTTATATAACAAATCATGTAATCACATGCACATAGTCCTGCACACCCTGTCACCTGTGCCATATTCTGTTGGTTAGAAGCAAGTCACAGGTCCCATTACACTTCAGGGGAGGGGATCAAAGGAGGGATTGAGCACCAGGAGGCACACAGTATGGGGGCTGCTTAAGTCTCTCTACCACAGATGGCTCTGCGTGTTTCATATGTCTTTAATCATACTATATGTGTAATTTCAGACTATTTTTCACTTAATGCTAATATCCTAAGGAATTTTCCATATTGCTACATAATCTTCCAAGTCATCATTACTAATGGAGGCAGTTGTTTCACTGGCTAAGCTATTCCCCTATTTTCAGACATGTAGGTTTTATTGAGTTTAATGTTGTAAAGATATCCTTTGTGCATCAAGCCTTTTTTCTGTTTAGAGCTTGATTTTTCCCCTGAGATAATACTCCTGTAAGTCAAATAATAGGAATACTTAAAGGCATCTTTCCTCATATCCACTAGACCATGCCAGGGTCCTATTTACCTGCCCTGTGAATTTTTTTTTTAGATTTACAACCACACTGTGATGTGGGCAGGAAAAGATAAGAAATCTCAGTTTACAAATAAGTAAAGTGAGACCTAGGAGGGACAATTTGTGTCTGGTCTGAAGATAGGGGGGTTCCTGGGCGGTGGTCTTCAATATCATTGTTTGCAGCCAGGAATTGCCACCACTGTGTCTGGGAGGACCCCGCTGGTACTGACTTTGGCCATTGTTTTTATTGTGTTTGTGTTTGTTTTGAATAGGTAATATATCCACACAGTTCAATGTACCCAAACGGTTCAAGATCCAAAAGGTACTTTTTTTCATGGTACCTTTTAGATACACAGAGAAAATGTCTTTCTCCCCCACCACCCATGTGCCCAGGTATATCCCTTTAAGTGATTACTGTTTTCTGTTTCCTGTGATCTTTATTTTTAATTTTTTAGGGACAGTGTCTCGCTTGGTTGCCCAGGCTGGAGTGGAGTGGTGTGATCATAACTCACTGCAGCCTTGAACTCCTGGGCTCAAGTGACCCTCCTGCCTCAGACTCTGGAGTAACTGGGATTAGAGGCATGTGCCACAATGCCTGGGTAATTTTTAAAAACTTTTTGGTAGAGATGGGGTCTTGCTATGTTGCCCAGGCTGGTCTTAAACTCTTGGCTTCAATCAATCCTTCTGCCTCTGCCTCCCAAAGTGTTGGGATTACAAGCGTGAGCCAATGCACCCAGCCTCCAGTGACCTTTAGAAATACAGAAGTACCTTTAGTCATTTCTCTCTACTTCTTTTTTTTTTTTTTTTCCTGAAATGGAGTCTCACTGTGTCACCAAGGCTAGAGTACAGTGGCACGATCTCGGCTTACTGCAGCCTCTACCTCCCAGGTTCAAGTGATTCTCCTGTCTCAGCCTCCTGAGTAGCAGGGACTACAGGCACGCACCACCGGCTAATTTTTGTATTTTCAGTAGAGACAGGGTTTCACTGTGTTGGTCAGGCTGGTCTTGAACTCCTGACCTCAGGTGATCCACCTGTCTCGGCCTCCCAGAGTGCTGGGATTACAGGTGTGAGCCATCACGCCCAGCCCTCTCTACTTCTTTTAAATGTTAGTGTCCAGTCGTCAGTTTCCTCCCTTTTTTATATGAAGTGGCACCCTACTGTTCACACTGTTCTACTCTTTGCTTTTTATTTTTTAAAATTTTTATTGTTTTTTTTTCTTTTTTTGTGAGCCAAAGATTTATTTATTCATTCCTTGCATTTGAAGTACTCTTCGATAACATCCTTGGCCTGAGACTCCTTTCCATAGTCCTTAACTACTACACAACTGCAACCAACCACTTTACGGGGTTTCCCCTCTCTGTCAGTTTTACAGAGGCCTACCCATTCTCCTAGTTTCTTATTGTCATCAACCTTAATTAGGTTGATCTGGTGTTCAGCACAAAGGGCCTCCACCAACTTGACATACATAGGCTCATCACAGTTGGTTGCAAGCACACAAAGATGGGCTTGGCGCCTTTTCCTAGGTTTCCTGTAGGATGGATGCCATTCAGAACTTTTGCGCTAACACCATGAACTCCATGCCTTCTTCCCTTGGGTGGCAGTTTTGTTCCGGTTGCAAGAACCCACAGTATTGAGACTGATACACGTACTTGTCTAAGGCTTTGGCAGCTTCGCGAATTCCACGTGCTAGGCCATCGTGGATGAGGGCGGTCTTCAGCACCTCTTGTAAGGCAGTATTAATGTCTATTACACCTCCAGCAGCAATGCCTTCCTCGGCCATGGCGGTGGGTTACGGGTGAAGCGGAATGTTGAACGCACCGAAGCCTCCGCCTCTGCACGACTCTGCGGCGGCAGGGAAAGAGCTACATTTTTATTCTTTTAAATTTCTTTTAGAGATAGGCTTTTGCTTTGTGGCCCAGGCTGGCGTGTAGTGGTGTGATGATAGTTCACTGAAGCCTCGACCTCCTGGGCTCAAGCAATCCTCCTGACTCAGCCTCCAGAGTAGCTAGGACTACAGGTGCATGCTACCACATCCAGCTACTTTTTTCATTTTTATTTTTTGTAGAGATGGTGTCTTGCTATGCTGTATTCCTTGCTTTTTTAAAAAATTAATTTTAACAAGTTTTACCTCTTGCTTTTTACTGAATGTATCTTGCAGATATTTTCATATCAATGTAAAAAACCCTTTCTCATTTTAAAAAAACAACTGTGACTTTAAATGGGAGAAAGGAAAATTCACCTTTTGTTGATGTAGGATAAAGGAAAATAGGATAATTTTTCTCTTTCAAAAGTCTTTTAAGGAGGTGGATTATGAGTACGGGCTCCATACCGTGTCTTAGGCTCCCCAACTGTCAGTGTGTGCCTTGGAGGGAAGAGGGGACACGCTAGTGTCCTTCTTCCTGTTCTGTAAGTTCCCTTTTCCTAGCTTCAGTCCAGGTTGAATCCAGATCTTTGAGGGAAGTCAGTGGTTCTTAAAGAGGAAGGAGTGCCTTTCAGTCTCCCCAGAAGGTTTTGAAAGCACATAGAGGCAGTTTGACTCCCAGCTCTGTCTGGAAGGAGGCTGCAGGGCTCATGGCCTGTCCCCTGACATCTGTCTTCTACCTGGAAGGACCATTAAGTGCTTAAGCACCTTGGCTGTAACTCCAGATAAGCAAGATGGGTCCCTCTTTTAGCAAGGCATGATTTCGTCAGGCTTTCCATTTATTCCTTGATCCAGCAACAAAGATAATAATAATTACTGTTGTATCATTGTGCTGGGTGTTTTATAAGGAGCATAGAATGGGGTTAAGAGCATGAGTTCTGGAGCCAGATTGCTGGGGTTAGTATCTGGTGCTACCACTTACCAGCTGTGTGACCTTGGGCAAGCGACCACACCTCTCTGTGACACATTTACTTCCTTATATAGGTAGTCCGTGTGCATAAGGCACAGAGAACAATGCCTGGCATGAAGTGCCATCGCTAGCACATCTTAGTGCAGTGCCCACAGAAACCCTCAGGGGACCAGTGTTTGTTGAAGCCAGGACCCAGCCCTGGGGAAACAGGCTCATCATCTCTGCCATCCCAGAGCTCTCAGGCTGGAGTGGGAGATAGAAGACAGACAGACAACAGTGAAAGCGAGCTGGGCGCGGTGGCTCACGCCTGTAATCCCAGCACTTTGGGATCCCAGAGAGCTGAGGCGGGTGGATCGAGAGGTCAGGGGTTCAAGACCAGCCTGGCCAACATGGCGAAACCCTGTATCTACTAAAAATACATAAATTAGCTGGGCATGGTGGCGGATGCCCATAGTTCTACTTACTTGGGAGGCTGAGGCAGGAGAATCGCTTGAACCCAGGAGGTGGAGGTTGTAGTAAGCCAAGATCGTGCCACTGCATTCCAGCCTGGGCAACAGAGCGAGACTCCGTCTCAAAAACAAAAACAAGGCCGGGCGCAGTGGCTCATGCCTGTAATCCCAGCACTTTGGGAGGCCAAGGTGGGCGGATCGTCTGTGGTCAGGAGTTCGAGACCAGCCTGGCCAACATGGCGAAACCCCATCTCTACTAAAAATACAAAAATTAGCTGGGTGTGGTGGTGCACACCTGGAGTCCCAGCTACTCAGCAGGCCAAGGCAGGGAGAATTGCTTGAACCCAGGAGGTGGAGGTTGCAGTGAGCCGGGATCATGCCATTGCACTCCAGCCTTGGCAACAAGAGTAAAACTCCATCTCAAAAAACAAAACAAAACAAAGCAAAACAAAACAAAAAAACACCACTAAAAACAAAAACAAAACACAAAACAATGAAAGCGAGTGTGTCAGCTGATAAAGAATGTCAGCAAGAACCATGGAGCTGGGCAATGGTGGGGGTGGCCTCCTTAGATAGACCCTAGGAAGGCTTCCCTATGGAAGGAGTCCCCTGAATTCTGAGGATGTTGGCCAGGATGGTCTCAATCTCTTGACCTCGTGATCTGCCTGCCTCGGCCTCCCAAAGTGCTGGGATTACAGGTGTGAGCCACTGTGCCCAGCCCAGAAGCACTTTTTAAAGACCGTGATTATTTAAAAAAAAAAAAGTTGTAGACGGGGTTATTGACCCATTTGCAGACAGATCCTCTTATAGACCCAGCATGTGGAGAATTTTCTATCCTTGCCTGCTCCTCCTTTCTTCTCCCCATATTTTCCTTCAGTCAAAGTTTATATTTTGATAATTACTTTTAAAAGATACAGTTTGGCCAGGCGTGGTGGGCTCACGCCTGTAATCCCAGCACTTTGGGAGGCTAAAGAGGGTGGATCACTTGAGGTCAGGAGTTTGAGAGCAGCCTGGCCAACATGGTGAAACCTCATCTCTACTAAAAATACAAAAATTAGCCAGAAATCGCTTGAACCCAGGAGGCAGAGGTTGCAATGAGCTGAGATTGTGCCACTGTACTCCAACTTGGGCAACAGAGCAAGACTCTGTCAAAAAAAAAAAAAAAAAAAAGATGCAGTTCACCTCTCTCCTAGATGTCTGAATTTATTAATGTCTATTTGTTGCCATTATATACTTTCATTCTGCTGCTTTTCTTCATTTTTATTTAATTAATTTATTTATTGAGACTGGGTCTCACTCTTTTATCCAGGCTGGAGTGCAGTGGTGAAATCTCTGCTCACTGCAACCTCCACCTCCCAGGCTCAAGCAATCCTCCCAGCTCAACCTCCCCAGTAGTTGGGACTACAGGCATGTGCCACCATGCCTGGCTAATTTTTGTATTTTTTGTGAAGATGGGGTTTCACCGTGTTGCCCAGTCTGGTCTCAAACTCCTGGGCTCAAGCCTTCTGCCCACTTCAGCCTCCCAAAGTATTGGGATTATAGGTGTGAACCCTTGCATCCGGCCTTTATTTTATTTACTTTTTAGAGACAGGGTCTGTCTCCATTACCTAGGCTGGAGTACAGTGGCGAGATCATGGCCAACTTCAGCCTCTGCCTCCTAGGTTCAAGCCATCCTCCCACCTCAGTCTCCCGACCAGCTGGGTCTACAGGCTCACGCCACTACACCTGGCTAGTTAAAAAAATTTTTTTGTAGATTGGGTCTCCTTATGTTTCCCAGCCTGGTCTCAAACTCCTGATCTCAAGTGATCCTCGTACCTCAGCCTCCCAAAGCACTGGGATTATAGACATGAACCACTGTGCCTGGCCTTGCTTCTACTTTTCTTTTTCCTTTTTCTTTTTTTGAGACAGTCCCACTCCGTCGCTCAGGCTGGAGTGCAGTGGCGCAATCTCGGCTTACTGCAAACTCTGCCTCCTGTGTTCAAGTGATTCTTGTGCCTCAGCCTCCCAAGTAGCTGGGATTACAGGCACATGCCACCAAACCTGGCTAATTTTTGTTTTTTAAAATATTTAGATATTTATTTATTTATTTTGTTTCTTTTTTTTTGAGACAGAATCTGGCTCTGTTGTCCAGGCTGGAGTGCATTGGTGCGATCTTGGCTCACTGTAACCTCTGCCTCCTGGATTCAAGTGATGCTCCTGCCTCAGCCTCCCAAGTAGCTGGGATTATAGGCGTGTGCCACCATGCCTGGCTAATTTTTTTTTTTTTTTGTATTTTTTAGTAGAGACAGGATTTTGCCATGTTGGCCAGGCTGGTCTTGAACTCCTAGCCTCAGGTATCTTCCCACCTCTGCCTCCCAAAGTGCTGGGATTACAGGCATGAGCCACCGTGCCTGGCCTGGTTCTCCTTTTCTTTGCAGAGTTATCTTTGTCTCAATCCTTCGTCTTTGTTAATTGTATGGAAATGGGAATTGATCTTTTTTAGTGCCTCCCTTCCCTGCACTGCTGTGGGACCAGCACAGTGCTCCCATATGGTGCATGTTCAGCCAGGATTTGTGGGGTGGTTGAATGTTGAGCAGATAAGATGCAAAAGATAACCATGTGAGGACAGAAGCTTCCGGAATTGGCCTAGGCTGGGGTGGCTGGGGTGGATGCTGAGATGTGAGGAAGGGAGACAGGTCCAAGAGAGGGGCTGGATTTGAGTTTTGAGGGGCTGGAGGAGGCAGCCTTCTAAGGGCCCCGTATCTGGCTGGAGCCATCTCCCTTCTGTGCCCCCTGCAGTGGCCCAGCTGAGGACGGTAGGGGTGGCAGCACCAAGACTGCCTTCAACCGAGCGCACCTGGTAAACATGGTGTTTTTTTTTCTTTTTTGGAAACAGAGTTTTCGCTCTTGTTGCCCAAGCTGGAGTGCAGTGGCGTGAACCTAGCTCACTGCAACCTCTGCCTCCCGAGTTCAAGGGATTCTCCTGCCTCAGCCTCCCGAGCAGCTGGGATTACAGGCACCCGCCACCATGCCCAGCCAATTTATTTTTGTATTTTTAGTAGAGACAGGTTTTCATCATATTGGTCAGGCTGGTCTTGAACTCCTGACCTCAAGTGATCCACCCGCCTCAGTCTCCCAAAGTGCTGGAATTATAAGCGTGAGCCACCATGCCTGGCTGTAAATGTGGTCTTCAGTGTGTGCCTCTCAGCACTGAGACACTCGAGAACTCCGTGGCAGTGATGGGCCGAGGGACTTGTGAGGAAGGGGATGATGCTCTCTCTTCTCTCTTTGAAGCCCTGGGCATGGACGCCTTCATCAAGGCCATGAAGAAGGTTCTAAGCTGTGTGTCGAATGAGATGCTAAAGGAGCTGTTTTTGAAGGTGGACTCAGACTGTGAAGGCTTTGTCACCTGGGTGAGAAGGGTGCCCCTGCTTCCTCAGGTGCTGGAGGGAGGCTGGAGGGTCCAGTCCTTGACCAGTTGGTGGGCTGAAGATGGGAGGCCATCATGATGTAGGAAAGCCTCCCTGTGGATTCCGGCCCCAGCTGGGGGACTTGCCCAGTGGAGAGGTCCCTCCTAAGACCTGTGTGAGCTGAGTTCCTGGCAGCTCATTCCCCAGGGACAAGTGTCATTGGCCCCTATGTGAGACCTACTGAGTTGCAGCAGTGACCCTACCTGCCACGCGGCTGTGCTGCCCACCAGCCTCCCATTTGACTTGAGGGATTCAAGCTGGTACCACGACCATCTCATGACCCTTCACTGTCACTCAGGAAGAGGCCAACTTGTGGCTGTTACATCCAAAAATGTCAGGCTTTTACAGCAGCGTAATAATAATGCTTTCATGTTTTTCTGGTTCTAAACGTTCGACAATGGGAATATATAGCTTTTTTTTTTTGAGATGGAGTCTCGCTCACCATTCTCCTGCCTCAGCCTCCTGAGTAGCTGGGACTATAGGCGCCGGCAACCGCGTCCGGCTAATTTTTAGTAGAGACGGGGTTTCACTGTGGTCTCGATCTTCTGACCTTGTGATCCGCCCACCTTGGCCTCCCAAAGTGCTGGGATTACAGGCATGAGCCACCGTGCCCGGCCTATATAGCTTTTTAAGCATACAGAAAAGTACCAAGGATAGTCTGACAAATTGATATAGCAAAGATGACAATGATAACTAGCATTTACACCAAGCACTGTGCTAAACTCCCTATGTATTATTTTACTGAAACCTCATAGGAGCTATTACTTACCTCTATTTTGGCCGGGCGCAGTGGCTCATACCTGTAATCCCAGCACTTTGGGAGGCCGAGGTGGGTGGATCGCTTGAGCTCAGGAGTTCATGACCAGCCTGGGTAACATGGTAAAACCCGTCCCTACAAAAAATACCAAAAATTAGCCGGGTGTCCTGGTGCACGCCTATAGTCCCAGCTACTTGGGGAGCTGAGCTGGGAGGATCGTTTGAGCCTGGGAGATTGAGGTTGCAGTAAGCTGAGATTGCACCACTATACTCCAGCCTGGGTGACAAAGTGAGACCATGTCTCAGGAAAAAAAAAAAAAACTTACCTCCATTTGACAGATTGGGAAATTGAGGTATGGGAAAGTTAAGAGTTTGCCCAAGGTTTCAGACTCATCAGCACTGGAGCCAGTGTTCAAACCAGGGAGCGTGCCTTGAGAGTCCTGGTGTTAATTGCCGTCTCATAGCTCTCCTCAGCGTAGGTATACATTATAGGTTTTATTCTTCTTAATTTTCTTGTTTTTATTTCTCTCTCTCTCTCTCTCTTTTTTTTTTTTTTTTTTTTTTTTTTTGGAGACAGAATCTTGCTCTGTCGCCCAGGCTGGAGTGCAATGGCACGACCTTGGCTCACTGCAACTTCTGCCTCCCGGGTTCAAGCAATTCTCCTGCCTTGGCCTCCCGAGTAGTTGGGATTACAGGTGCCCGCCACCATGCCCGGCTAATTTTTGTATTTTTAGTAGAGACAGGGTTTCACCATGTTGGCCAAGCTGGTCTCGAACTCCTGACCTCAGGTAATCCACCCTCCTTGGCCTCCCAAAGTGTTGGGATTACCAGTGTGAGCCACCACACTTGGCTGTTTTTATTTCTCTTAATGTTCTGTAATAAACATTTCCTTTAGAACTAATGAGACCAACTAAAAGAAAAAGAATAAAAAGTAATTTAACCCCCTCACATTCCCGGCATTCTCAGGGCTTTACCCAGTTGTCCTTCTCTACAACCCCCCATTTCTCGTTATAGCTTCATATGGTGGCTGCTTTGGGCCTTGGCCATGTTTTCCAGCAGCTGGGCAGCGGAATGGAGTCTGGAGTTGCGCCAGTGGCCCTGGTTGTGGGTGCTCCCTGCTGTTAACTTGATGTTTGAGCATGAGCATCGCATATCCTTACAGGGGCCTGAGTCTTATTACCCATAGGGGAGAGTGAATTAAGAGCTCCCAGGGCAATGGCAGTTGTGGAGGTGATCTGAGGATGCACTTAGCGCTTCAGGACGGCTAGGGAGGCGCTGTTGTGCTCTTTCCATGAATGCTGCGAGTAGGCTCTTCCCATACTCAGGATTCAAGAACAGGTCTGCTGTCCAGGCGTGGTGGCTCACACCTTTAATCCCAGAACTTTGGCAGAGCACTTGAGCCCAGGAGTTCAAGACCAGCCTGGGCAACATGGTGAAACCCCGTCTCTACAAAAAATACAATAATTAGCTGGGAATTGTGGCATGCATCTGTGGTCCCAGCTACTCAGGAGGCTGAGGTGGGAGGATCACTTGAGCCTGGGAGATTGAGGCTGCAGTAGGCTGTGATCACACCATTGCACTCCAGCCTGGGTGACAGAGCAAGACCCTGTCCCAAAAGAGAGAGAGAGAGAGAAAAAAAAAGGGCCAGGTATGGTGGCTCATGCTTATAATCCCAGCACTTTGGGAGGCTGAGTAGTGAACTGTGATCACACCACTGCACTCCAGCCTGAGTGACAAACTAACAGAAAGAGCAGGTCTCTTGCTTGGCCACCTGCATTGGCCAGTACTTAGGAAGCAGCCACCAGAAAGCTCCCCGTTGGAAGGGCCTGGGAGAGATGAGGTGGCAGGGGGGACCCTGGGAATCAGGCTTGGGTTCTTGAAACCGAAGGCCGAGACCATTTTGCCAACACCCTGCCTCCCTTGTGCTTTCTTTCTGAGGCAGCAAAAGTATGTGGATTACATGATGCGTGAGTTCCAGGGAAAAGAGGACATGCAAAAGAGCCAGTACCGCCTGCACTTCTACCTTCCCATGAGGGTCGTCCCCCTGTAAGGAGCCTCTTCCTGGGCCTTGGTGGGTGGGGTGACTGGACAAGTGCTGGTGCCAGCCTGCAGCAAGCCCCTCCCTCAATCCATGACCTCGCTGGTGCTGACCAGGGATTGGCATCAGCCTGCTGCCTGATGTCCTTTGGCTCATTTCAACCTCACAGCCCTGTAAGTGTTAGGACTAAGGTAGGTGATTTGTCCACATTTTATAGATGAGGCCACTGAGGTCTGGAGAGGTCAAATGGCTGGCCCCAGGCCAATAGGTAGAAAGTGGCGGGGCTGCTGTGTTTGGCCCTCTCAGCCCCTATTCTCCAGTATACAGCATTGCTTCACCTGCTTCCTATGCTGGTCAGTGCGGAGTGGGTCCGGCAGTTTCATCATAGGGGCACAGGTGGCACAGTTGGCCAGCACAGGGAGGAATAGGAGTCTCTTCCCAGGCGACAGGGAGGGAATTGCTCCTCAAGCCCCCAGTCAGGCCCTGGAGGCCTCAGTGTGGCTGGCCGTGGGAGCAGGTCCCTCTGTTACTCCTGGAGCTGGTGGCACTGCCCTGCCTTGGCTTCCGCCTGACCCCCCTGCTGACTCCTCCTCCTTGTGGCTCCTCCACCCACTGTGCCCACTGCACCCTGGCTTTGCAGGGGAGGAAAACTGTCTTTTCCTTCTACCCATCTGAGGTTCATTGGCAGGGACCTCTGTAAGAGAAGATAGAGTCACAAGGATGAGCATACAAGTTTATTTAATATAAGTTTTACATGACTTGGGAAACTCCATAGGAAATGAAGACCCTAAGAAATAGATAACCTGAGGCTTTTCATGCTAGGTTCAATGGAGGGTGGAAAGCTGTGAAAAAATAAGATAGGACAGAGGGGCCATGAGCCAAGGATAATACATGGCAGAAACAGCAAGGCAGTTAGTTCAGATTCTTGTCCCTGTCCCTGTGTCTTTGGGTACCCCTCACATGAGTCTTATGACCGGCTTCAGGGGAAGGTCAAACGGTCCTTCCTGAACATACTGCTTCTCAAATTCCTTCAGTTTAACAGACTCAGTATGCTGCGGTGCCCTATTTAGGGGTAGCATGTCTAAAACCCCCTCAACCTCTTCTGTCTGTGCCAGGGCTCAGTCTGCCCCACTGTGTGTTCCTCCCCCGGACTCCCTAAGCATGAGAAGCACTGTGGGGGCTCTGACCTGCTGGGTCCGGGCCGCCCAGGTCACTGGCTCCCTTCCTGCAGTCTGACCTGGAGCACTGCTGCCTGGGGCAGGTGGCCGGGTGGGGAGCTGGGTCCTGAGGTACAAGGTGTGGCAGCCTACATTTGTGACCAGGTCAGGAGGGAGCTGTGGGTGGGTCTGTGCTAAGAGGACCAGACCTAGACCAGGCCACAGGGAAGACCAAGAGCTGGAAGGCAGCCCCGGCCCTCAGGCAGCCTGGGATTTAATAGAGAAGGCGGCTTGAATGAAAGTCACCACAGGGTAACTTTTTTTTTTTTTTTTTGAGACAGAGTCTTGCTCTGTCACCCAGGCTGGAGTGCAATGGCGCGATCTTGGCTCACTGCAACCTCCGCCTCCCGGGTTCAAGCGATTCTCCCACCTCAGCCTCCTAAGTAGCTGGGATTACAAGCGCCCACCACCATGCCTGGCTAATTTTTTTGTATTTTTAGTAGAGACGGGATTTCACCGTGTTGGCCGGGCTGGTTGCAAACTCGTGACCTCAAGTAATCTGCCTACCTTGGCCTCCCAAACTGCGAGGATGATAGGTGTGAGCCACTGAACCCAGCAATAACTTAAAATTTTGGTTGGGATTTAATTGAGAAATAACCAATAAATATGAATGATGAGAGATTTCATAACTATTTTTTTTTAACATTTACTGGTTTATTATAAAGAATATTGCGAAGAATACTGATGAACAGATGTGTAGGGCGAGATATGGAGAGAGGGATGCACAAGCTTCAGGACTCTCCGTGTGTTCAGCCAAGGGAAGCTCTCGGAACCCAGTCCTCGGGGGTTTTTAGTGGAAGCTTCATGACATCAGCATTCCTTCCCCCAGGGCATAGGGCAGGACTCTCTCTGGGGCTGTGGGAGTTATGAGCCAGGAACTATCGACAAAAACATATATATATAAAATACCACAGGCCCCCACTCCTGGTTTTTGAACACAGAGAACACAGCTCCCTTATAGCAAAAGAATACACAACTCAAAAGATACTGCCACATTACTAGAGTCCCATTCAGTCATTAATAATTCATCCCGTCCGTCATACTATATGGCTCCCAAGCTGAGGCCACTCAGGTTTGCAGGCTTCCTTTCAATCTTGTCAGGTTCCAAAAGCTGGAGTTGCTTGGCAAATAAACCTCTAAGGCATATGGAATCAATGCCATCTCTCTTTTCTTTTCTTTTTTCTTTTTTTTTTTTTCTGAGACAGAGTTTTGCTCTTGTTGCTCAGGATGGAATGCAGTGGCATGGTCTCAGCTCACGGCAACTTCTGCCTCCCGGTTTCAAGTGATTCTCCTGCCTCAGCCTCCCGAGTAGCTGGGATTACAGGCACCTGCCACTATACCTGGCTAATTTCTATATTTTTAGTAGAGACGGGGTTTCACCATGTTGACCAGGCTGATATCAAACTCCTGACCTCAGGTCTCCCAAAGTGCTGGGATTACAGGTGTGAGCCACTGCACCCAGCCAGTCATCTCTTGCTCTGAGAACTCCTTCGAGTTGTTGGTGTAATACTGGATTTCTCTCCATTTAATCCATTTGTTCATCTTTACCCTCAGCTAGTATTCCTCCTTTTCTCCATTTGTCATTTATTTTTACCCAAACGTTTCCACCTTTGCAAGGGACATCAGGTTCAGCCACTGCCCATCTGGATCGCTGGTAGCAATGCTAGTCTAGCGAGTGCCTCCCCTCAGTCCATTCCCATTTATAGAGAATATGGTTACACGAGTTGCAAACTCATGAGCCATTTTTACCACGAGGCAATATAGCTGTATTTATTTTTAACCCCCATTTTGCCAGATGGGATGAAGGCACAATCCACCCCCATCAGGCCTTTAGGGAATTCTCACAACATTTTAAAACATGGTGACTGTTTCTTGCTTAGAAATTATCCCTGCCGAAGCATGGTGGCTCACACCTGTAATCCTAGCACTTTGCGAGGCCGAGGTCGGTGGGTCACCTGAGGTCAGGAGTTTGAGACCATCCTGGCCAACATGGTGAAACCCTGTCTCTACTAAAAATACAAAAATTAGCTGGGTATGGTGGCACAAGCCTGTAATCCCAGCTACTCAGGAGGCTGAGGCAGAAGAATCGCTTAAACCCGGGAGGCAGAGGTGCAGTGAGCTGAGATGGTGCCACTGCACTCCAGCCTGGGTGACAGAGCGAGACTCAAAAAAAAAAAAAAAGAAATTATCCCTGCTTCCAACACTTGTAATTGGACCCTAGGACCACTGGACCAACAGGTAGGGGAGAAAAAAAATGTTACTGGAAAGGGGTTCCGATCCAGACCCCAAGAGAGGATTCTTGGGCCTCATGCATGAAAGAATTCAAGGCGAGTCCGTAAAGTGAAAGCAAGTTTATTAAGAAAGTAAAGGAATAAAAGAGTGGCTACTCCATAGGCAGAGCAGCCCCAAGGACTACTGGTTGGCTATTTTTATGGTTACTTCTTGATTATATGCTAAACAAGGGGTGGATTATTCATGAGATTTTGGGAAAGGGGTGGACAATTTCCAGAACTGAGGGTTTCTCCCTTTTTTAGACCATGTAGCAGTAACTTACTGATGTTGCCATGGCGTTTGTAAATTATCATAGTGCTGGTGGGAGTGTCTTTTAGCATGCAAATGAATTATAATTAGCATATAATGAGCAGTGAGGATGACCCGAGGTCACTTTCATTGGCATCTTGGTTTTGGTGGGTTTTGACTGGTTTCTTTAATAACGCATGCTGTTTTATCAGCCAGGTCTTTATGATCTGTACCTTGTGCCAACCTCCCATCTTATCCTGTGACCTAGAATGCCTGACCTCCTAGGAATGCAGCCCTGTAGGTCTCAGCCTTATTTTAACCAGCTATTATTCAAGATGGAGTTGCTTTGGCATTCAGATGGAATTGCCTCTGACAATTTGGGCAGGAAAGAAAAAAGTAGTCATTTTACAAGTATATTCCTCCCTTGGCACAACTGCATAGTCATACCAGCATCCTCCCCAGTTTTCTTCCCACATCAACCAAAAAAACAGAAAATCTAGTGAGGACACCCCTTTGATCCCACTCCTGCTGAAGGTGAGCGCACACTCTTGAGGGTGGGTAAGCCAGCGCCTTCATGCATCCGTCCCCTCCGTTTTAGGCAACCAGTGTTTCAATTGCCTGTTGTGCTTTCTACCAGCAATGGGGTTCTCTGCCATTGTTGGACATTAAGAGCTCAAGAGTTTGTTTCTTGGTCTGAAGAAATGACGGTCGGCCCTCAAACCCATCTGACATCTTCTGCTCTGTGTTTTTATGGCGCTCTGAGCAAAGCCCACTCCAGAGTTAGTGTCTCTTCCTGTCCAGACCCATTTGTAGCCCTCCAGGGCTACCAGCATCAGTCTCAGCTGTCTGCTGTGTTTCAGGACCTTCCCAGAGGGACTGTGTCTCATGGTCATTGGCAGTCTCTGTCTTCTTCCTGGCATTATCTGCCTGACGGAGTACAAGAGGAACATGTCTAGATTCAGCCCATCTCCACACTCTGCAGCTCCCCACTAGTTACTCATTTTATGGAACCAGGTGGCCACCTCATGGGAGCACATGGGGATCTCTGCTTGTCAATTCTAGTCAGCTTCTGAACCTGGGAGTTCTTCTGAGGGGCATTGACTTGTTCAGCTTTAATGCACCCCTCAAATCTCCACAGGGCCGTGCTCCATGGGGCATCCCTTCAACAGGCCAGGTTTCCCTGGCCCTCTTGCCTGAGTGCATGGCCAGGCCATTGGTCACTGCCTGTGAGTCAGTAAAATCCCAAACACAGGAGCTTCCACCACTATTCAATTCTTCCATCACTGTTAGAAAAACAGCACGCAAGGCCGGGTGTGGTGGCTCACGCCTGCAATCCCAGCACTTTGGGAGGCCAAGGTGGGCGGATCACCTGAGGTCAGGAGTTTGAGACCAGCCTGACCAATGTGATGAAACCCTGTCTCTACTAAAAAGACAAAAATTAGCCAGGCGTGGTGGCATGTGCCTGTAATCCCAGCTACTCTCGAGGCTGAGACAGGAGAATCGCTTGAACCCAGCTACTTGGGAGGCAGAGGTTGCAGTGAGCCGAGGTTGTACCAACGCACTCCAGCCTGGGCAACAAGAGTGAAAACTCTGTCTCAAAAAAAAAAAAAGAAGAAGAAAAACAGCATGCAAATGCAATTCAGCCCACTGAGGCTGATCAGTTTCTACCTTCTTTGCTCCAAGTAGCAGTCCTCCAGACAGAATATTGTTCATTCACTTTGAAACTGGAAAGCCAGCATTTCCTTGTTGGACACTTGATAGCTGTTCATAGCAACTGTCCAAGTGTTGATAGAACCCAGCAGCACCTCACACAGTTCCAGAATCAGTCCTGGGGTAAAGAGGCTCCCGGCTTGTGAGTATCTCTTGCTTGCATTCCCCAGGTAGCAAGATGCTGTGTAAACCATTTCCATTTTATTGTATTTATTTTTTTGGGATTTTTTTTTTTTTTTTTGAGACAAGGTCTTGCTCTGTGGCCCAGGCTAGAGTGCAGTGGCATCATCTCCGGTCACTGCAACCTCTGCTTCCTGGGTTCAAGTACTTCTCTTGCCTCAGCCTCCCGAGTAACTGGGACTACAGGTGGCCGCCACCACACCTGGCTAATTTGTTGTTGTTGTTTTTGGAAACGGAATCTTGCTCTGTTGCCCAGGCTGGAGTGCAGTGGCTTGATCTCGGCTCACTGCAAGCTCCGCCTCCCGGGTTCATACCATTCTCCTGTCTCAGGCTCCTGAGTAGCTGGGACTACAGGCGCCCGCCACCACAAAATACAAAAAATACAAAAATAATTTTTTGTATTTTCAGTAGAGTAGAGATGGGGTTTCACTGTGTTAGCCAGGATGGTCTCAATCTCCTGACCTCATGATCTGCCCGCCTCAGCCTCCCAAAGTGCTGTGATTACAGGCGTAAGCCACTGTGCTGTCCTAGTTTTTGTATTTTTAGTAGAGACGGGATGTCACCATGTTGGCCAGGCTGATCTTGAAGCCCTGACCTCAAGTGATCCACTAGCCTCAGCCTTCCAAAGTGCAGGGATTACAGGCGTGAGCCCCCCTGCCCGGCCAGGTCTTTCTATTTCTTTGGGCCATTTAGATCTCAAGGGTGTTTAAAAGTCCTGAAACAAAATATCAAGAGGCTTGTTCCTATTTTCTCCTATTTGTTTGTTCAACCTGCAAACCCAGAGAGCTTTCCAACTTGGTGGGGAAAATAAAGGAGTAATATTTAATTACCTTCATGAAAGAGTAACTTTAAAAAGTTGGCTTACCTTTACTGAGCCTGGGTCGGGTGCACCAAATGCAGCCTCCCATCTGATCCCAGCCCTAGGAGGTGCAGGTACTGTCGTCATGCAGGTGAGGAAACCAAGTCCTCCCTGAGATGCCCGTAGGGCTGTCTTCCCTTTTCCTAGCTGTCACCTATCATCCCATTCTGCACCGTCTTTGGCCCTGACAAGTGTCAGGGTTGGAAGAGACGAGAGGGCAACTGAGAATATTCATCACAATCTGCCCAGAGCCATGGGCTGAGGACAGGAGAGAGGAGAACCGTGTCCAGACACGTTTCCCTTGCTCTTCTGCAGAGATGGTAATGGCAGTTGAATTTTCACAGTGGCGTGGGTTATCCTTAAGCCAGGGTCAGACCAGGCCCACTGGATTTGGAAAGGGCCCTGGAGGAGGGGTCACAGTGCCTGGGTTCTAGTTCCAGCCCTACTGGTAAACAGAACATAACTCCAGGCAAATTATTATCCCCTGGGCCTCTGTAGGAGAAGGTAATATCACCTGCTCTGCCAGGGCCCAAAGATTGGGCAGATCAAGTAGGAGAGTGTGTGCCATGCCATGTTGGGAAGCTGGAATGGCAGGGACTCTTGATGGCCAGATAGCTGGCTTAGCCCACTTGGGTGCAGGGGAGCAACCCCCAGAGGGGAGCATCAAAGCCTGTGCGAAGGCTCAAGGGTGGCCTCCTGCGAGGCCAGGCCTGCCCCAGGAGCTGTTGGCTGTAGGGTTTGGTGCGTGGGGCCCTAATTCCCCACTGCTCCTTGTCCACTTTGATTTTATCCTTCGGTTCTGTTCCCCCCTCTACCCCAGAGCACTAGAGCAGTTGCAAGAAAGTGCTGTTGCTCAGTTTTCAGCCTCAGGCTCCACTCTGCTCACCCTCTGGCCAGCTTTTCCTATGAAAAGAGCTTTGCGAACAACCTCCGTTCTGTCTCCTCTGTCCCATCACGTCGCAAGGAGGCTGGCTGGCTACTCGCAGGATAAGCCTGCTGCTTCTCGCTTCTGGAGCCCCGCCTCATATCAGCTTCTACGTGAGGCCCTTTTTCTTTTGGCCACTGCTGATGATCCAGTAGAAACCCGCTTGGAGGAGCCAGCTCTGGTTTTCTGGCGTGCGCGTGTGCGTGCGTGCGTGTGCGTGTGCGTGCGTGCATGTGCGCATGTGTGCGTGCGTGTGCGTGACGCTCCGCCAGCTTTTGCCCCTCCTCCTCGGTGGCTCTCTGTTCTGCCGCAGGTGCCCCCTCCCTGAGCTGTTTTTTCTTGGGCTCTTCTCTCTCTCATCGCCTTCCACAGGAACCATGGCTGTGAGGTGGTGAAGGTGGTGTTTTTAATCCACCGGTTCAAGAAGATCGGGTGTTTCCTGACTGTCACCAAAGACGGCATCCTGCAGTTCTGGTCTGAGGCCTTCTCGCTGATCAGCTCCTTTAGGGTGAGTGGGGCCCGTATACATGGTACACACATGGGTCATTGGAGAGCCTCTGCCTTAGCACCCCCATGGTGAAGGTGACCTGGAGCCAGGCAGATTCATGGTCTAAGCAGCCTGGACTCGCAGTCACAGCACCTGGGTCCTGTGGGAGCCACACATTTCCCTTCTGCTAAGCGGGATTCCACCTGGATGTCCATTCCATGTGGTGTCTCACAGACCCCTCAAACCCATTAGCCCAAACAGCATGTCCCTTTTGCTAGCCCGGCCCACCAGGTTTCCTTCTCTTGCATCCCCATCTCAGTGAATGGCATCGTCACCCCCAAGACTCCTGTGCTACGGGTCAGCCGCTCCCATGCTGTCACCACGTCCTACCAGTTCAGGCCTTTTGCCTGGACCAGGCGGGAAATCATAGTGGTTGTGAGCATGGGCTCTGGAGCCCAACTCCCAGGGTTAGAGTCCTGACTGTACCACCTGCCAGCTCTGTGACCTGGACAAGGTACTATAGATGCCCCATGCCTCAGTTTCCCCATCTGTCAAATGGGGCTAGTTACAGTGCTTCTTCACAGTGCTTTTGGGAACACGCGATGACATAATACATGTGTAGTGCTTGGGGCAGGGCAGGGCACACTGCAAGTCCCCGCTGGATATATTGTCTTTGTACTGCCAGCTGCTGGCTGAGAGTAGTAAATGAGAAGACACTCAGGAGAACCCGCTGTGTACTTGGTCACCAGGCCAGTCCAGAATCCTCCAGCAGACGAAGAAAACATTGTTCTCCAGGGCTCTACAGAAAGGTTGATTGAGAACACAGCCCCCAGATGAAGGGCTTTCTGAGCCTGTGTAACTGCAGAGTGATTCACAGTTGCATCAGGGCTCATCCTTTGGGGAAGAAGAGACCTGGGTGAAACTAAGGTCCGTGGGGGACCCGTGGCTCTCCTGGGTGCACCAAGCGGGAGTCACGATTACCATCCTGAGGCTGTGGCTTCCATAGCCCTCCACCTTCCCTTTCTGTGTGTGGACTGGGGCAGGGTGTGTTGCAGCCAGAGCTCCTGCTTGTGACTGCTACATGGTCACCGAAGCACCTCCAGAGGCTGAAGGGGACAGAGGAAGGCTCTCTGGGAAGGCCCAGCAGACCTGGATTCTTCCTGGAGGGGCTGCTCTGGCAGGAGTAGGCCTCTCAGGACCACACACCCACTGTCATGAAGATGGAAAGACCTCAAGTTGGAGGCGGGGCCTGAGCTCCCCTCAAGAGCTGTGTGATCTTGGGCACAGGTCACTGAAATTCCCTAGGGCTTTTGGTTTCGCTGAACACTGCGGGGCAGGGGTGGGAGTTACCAAGCTACGGGTGTGTGTGAGTTAGACCCCAGCCCTGGGCAGGAGAGAGGGGCTCAGGAGGGTTCTTGTCCACTGTCTTCACCACCAGAACCACCTGGGGAGCCTTGGTGCTCTCTGAGTTCTGATGGGACAGGCTCCTCTCTGCCCCTGCCTTCCCTATTCCTTCTGATTATCCATGTAGAGGAATTGGTTTATGCTCCTCCCTGCTCCTTCCTTCCAGCTTTTCAGATCATACTTCTTTCTGCTTTCTTCAGTTCAGAGTCTGTGGTGTCATTCAAAGAGTAAAATACAGCACCACACACGGAGGCTCATGCCTGTAATCCCAGCACTTTGGGAGGCCAAGGCAGGCAGATCACTTGAGGTCAGGAGCTCGAGACCAGCCTGACCACCATGGTGAAACCCTGTCTTTGCTAAAAATACAAAAATTAGCCAGACATAGTGGCACACACCTGTAAGCTCAGCTACTCGGGAGGCTGAGACATGGGAATCGCTTGAACCTGGGAGGCAGAGGTTCCAGTGAGCAGAGATGGCGCCACTGCACTCCAGCCTGGGCGACAGAGCAAGACTCTGTCTCAAAAAAAAAAAAAGAGAGTAAAATACAGATTCCTTAGGTGGCCACACCTACCTCATCTCTGGTTCCTCTCCAGCTCTAAACTGAGTGGGCTGGCCTCCCCCTTCCCCAGGACACAGCAGCTCATTTCTGCTGACCTGACTCTGCTCGTGGCTTTCCCTGCCCGGAGTGCCAGCTCACATTGTCTCTGTGTACATGCTACACGAGTGCAGGAGGCACCGGTGCTGAGCTCCTACTGAGTGCCGGGCACCACCCTCAATGCTTTAATTATTCCATTCATTCCTCGCAACTTTGCAGAACAAATCCTTGGTTCATAAGCCACTTTGACCAGGTGACACCTGCAGATGGAAAACAGGATTCATAACTATGGAGGGGCAGACAGGGGAAGTCAGTCTTCCTTCCCTCAGTTCCTACTTCCTCTCCCTGCAGGCAAATGCTATGACCAGTTTTGGAGTGCTCTTCCATGGCTATCCTCTCTGCATACCTGCCTTTTCTTTTCTTTCTTTTTTTTTTTTTTTTTTTTGAGACTGGGTCTTGCTCTGTCACCCAGGCTGGAGTGTAGTGGTGCAGTCATGGCTCACTGCAACCTTAACCTCCTGGGGTCAAGGGATCTTCCCACCTCAGCCTCCCAAGTAGCTGGGACTACAGGCATGCACCACCATGCCCAGCTAATTTTTTCTTGTTCTTTCTTTCTTTCTTTTTTTTTTTTTTTTTGAGACGGAGTTTTGCTCTGTCACCCAGACTGGAGTGCAGTGGCGTGATCTCGGCTCACTGCAGCCTCTGCCTCCCAGGTTCAAGTGATTCTTCTGCCTCAGCCTCCCAAGTAGCTGGGATTACAGGCGAGCACCACCACGGCCAACTAATTTTTGTATTTTTAGTAGAGACAGGGTTTCAACATTGGCCAGGCTGGTCTCGAACTCCTGACCTAGTGATCTGCCCACCCCGGCCTCCCAAAGTGCTGAGATTACAGGTGTGAGCCACTGCGCCCAGCCTTTTTTGTTAATTTTGTAGGGATGGGGTCTTCCTATGTTGCCCAGGCTGGTCTTGAACTCCTGGGCTCAAGTGATCCTCCCGTCTTGGCCTCTGAAAGTACTGAGATTACAGGCATGAGCCACTGTGCCCTTTTCTTTTTAAATGTGATAATGGAGGCATATTATAATGTTGCTTTTTACCTTGATTTGTTACTTAATCATATCTCTTGGCAGCTCTTTATTGGCATGTGCACAGCTCCCTTGTTCTTAATGTCTGGGTGGTGTCCATGGTATGGGTTGATATCAGCTCTGCTTTCCAGGTGGCTTCTGGCCTGTTGCTCTAACAGCAGCTGCAGCGTCCCCTTTGAGTAGATGCAAACACACTCATAGAAATATCTTGGAAACAGATCCGTGGATCATGATCTATGCATATTCAAGACTTTGGTTTTTTTTGGGTGGGGGGACAAGGTCTCACTCTTGCCTAGGCGTGAGTGCAGTGGTGTGTTCACGGCTCACTGCTGCCAAGACTTTTATAGAACTGTGAGACTGCTCCAGAAAGGGGTTGTAAAGAAGGTGTTCTTCAAGCCCGTTTTACAGATACGGAAACTGAGACCCAGGGAGGCCAGGGAGTTTATCTGTTTATCCAAGGCCCCCACCACTAGTCTTAGTGGTAGTGCTGGGCTCCCTGCTAGGTCTGTGGTGGCTCCAGGGCCTCGTGTAGCAGGAGAGGTTCACGGGGAGCTGTGCTGGACTGAGTATGCTTCCCAGCCCATCTCCTCTGCTCTTCCTCTGGCCAGCTTAACCAGACCCAGCAGCTCTACAACCAGCCGATGTGGGTCGTCGACATGGTATGTCTGCACAATATGAACCTCATTGCAGTGGCGTCTACCAAGCAAAAGATAGGTGAGTCCCCCTGGGGGCTCCCCAGCCCTGCTCTCAGCCACTGGGAGCCATGCATTTGTGCCTGGGAGAAGTCTGTTAGCTGAGCAACTGTGAACATGAATCAGAGCCCCATAGGAGGATTGCCAGGTGGAGAGGCCTTAGTGCCAAGCAGGCAGGGGGTGGTCTGTGAATGCTCGAATGAATACAGTGATGTTGAACAGACCGAAATTTACAAGCCAGAGGCCATAACTGGTCTAGCTCCGGTCCTGATTCTACCTCCTGCCTCTTGCCACTCCTAGTCCAGGCCCCCTTCACTCTCACTTAAATAGCCTCTCCTGGTTAGGTGTGGTGGTTCACTCCTGTAATACCAGCACTTTGGGAGGCGGATCACCTGAGGTCAGGAGTTCAAGACCAGCCTGGCCAACATGGTGAAACCCTGTCCCTACCAAAAGTACAAAAAATTAGCCGGGCTTGGTGGCGGGCACCTATAGTCCCAGCTACTCGGGAGGCTGAGGTAGGAGAATGGCGTGAAACCAGGAGGCGGAGCTTGCAGTGTGCTGAGATCCTGCCACTGCACTCCAGCCTGGGTGACAGAGTGAGACTCTGTCTCAAAAACAGAAGAAAACAAAACAGAAAATACAAAAGTTACCTGGGTGTGGTGGCACACGCCTGTAATCCCAGCTACTCGGGAGGCTGAGGCAGGAGAATCGCTTGAACCTGGGAGGTGGAGGTTGCAGTAAGCTGAGATCACACCACTGCACTCCAGTGTGGGCGACAGAGAGAGACTCAGTTAAAAAAAAAAAAAAAAGCCTCTACTGCATGCCGTGCTTCCCTCATGCCCCCAAAGGCAGGATGTGCATTTACAGTACCCTCTGCAGAAAGTCTTCACCCTACCCCAGTGTTCTTAGGATGGAGGCGGGATCCTCGGTCTCTGTGCCCTGCCATCCCTCCTGCCCCTCTCTCTGCCCCGACAGCCTCTGCTTTTCTTTTGGTTCTCATCTTAGAAGTTACTTCCTCCAGGAATCCCTCCCTGACTCTCTATTCCAAGATCCTCTTAAAAAGACCGCATGAGATTGTATCTCTTCCCTTCAAGGTCCTCCTTTCAGTGTCATCTCACATGTATTAGTGTGCTTCTGTTTAGTGCATGTCTCCTCCTCCAAACTGGAAGCTCCATGAGGTCAGGGACTGCATCTGTTCTGCTCAACTCAGTGTCTCAGTGCCTGGTACCTTCTGGATGCTCGATGACTATTGAATGGATAGATGACGAATGAGGCCTCTGACTGAGCAGACCCGTAAGGTGGTCAGGAAGAGAAATTAATACATGAAATGACAGCTGGCAATGCGAGGCTGAATGGGAGGAGAGAGCGTGGCTGTTCTGGAATAAACAGGGACTTTGGAATAAAAAGGACCTGGGTTCAGAGCCTGGTCCCACTGCTCTGTAGATGTCTGCCTTTGAGCAATTACTTGACCTCCCAGTGCCTCACTTTACCCAGAGGTAAAATGGGGCCAATGATACATGACTCGAGGGTGAGTGTGGCTTAGTAGTTAGGTGTGTGAAGCTGTGGGCATAGTGCCTGGCACATAGTGGGCAGTTAATTAACACTGACATCATTATGAGGCTAAATTGTGTGATACAGAGAAAGTGGTCAGCCATCAGCAAGGGCTAGATTAATCTATCTGTGACCTGCCTGGGCTTTCCATTGCAACACCTGTTTCCTGGGGACCCGGTGCTGTCCCAGACATTCTCACCCTTTATCCTCAGACAACCCTGAGAATTTGGCATTAGAACCCCATTTATTTTTTATTTTTTTGAGATGGTCTCACTCTGTCGCCCAGGCTGGAGTGCAGTGGTGCAATCTCGGCTCACTGCAACCTCTGCCTGCTGGGTTCAAGTGATTCTCCTGCCTCAGCCTCCTGAGTAGCTGGACTAGGGATTCATTTATTTTGGTTGAAAAAAAAATATTGAATTCTGGTTTGATGATGGGCTGGACCTGGTCTGCTGGGCCTGTGTTTGTGGGCTCATCAGGTGTCTGGGTATACAGGCGCACACTACCACACCTGGCTGATTTTTGTATTTTTAGTAGAGACAGGGTTTCACCATGTTGGCCAGGCTGGTCTCCATCTCCTGACCTCAGGTGGTTCACCCGCCTCAGCCTCCCACAGTGCTGGCATTACAGGTGTAAGCCATTGCACCCAGCCTAGAACCCCATTTTAGAGATAATTATGTCATCACTGCTGTCCTGATGGAGCAGCTGTCACCTGCTCGGAGGCACTCAGACAAGGCCAGAAGCAGGGGTGGAAGTGCCACCAGTGTGATCCCTGGCCTTTGTGGTCCCAGCCCAGTCCAGCCAGCGCTCCTCTTGTGACCCACAGCCCTCTGGGGTGGCCGGCCATATAGAGAGGCAGAGGAGGGCGACAGGCTGCCATTCAGATGCAGGAGACAGCACGATGGCGAGGCTGTTGCTCATCAGAGGCTGAAAATGAGGCTTGATCTGTTGGAAGGAGTCAGATTTTTTTTTTTTTTTAAATTGAGACAGGGTCTTGCTCTGTCACCCAGGCTTTAGTGCAGTGGTACAATCACTGCTCACTGCAGTTTCAAACTCCTGGGCTCAAGCAATTCTCTTGCCTTAGCCTCCCTGAGTGCTGGGATCACAGGTGTGAGCCACCATACCCAGCCTGGGATTTTATTCCAGCTGCAGTTGGAAGCCTTTAGGGGTTTTCAGTGGGGTTCCCAGTGGGTGGGTTTACTCTGTAAATAGCTGTCTGTGGTTACCATGGGGGAAAAAGGGCTGAAGGGGCCAGAGATTCCTTGGGAGAGCAATGAGGCTGCTCACCGTGACTGAAGACCTCTCAGGCACGGCTGTGGGCTTCATGTGGCCTTCTGTCTTTCCCCCAGATTTCTTTGATATTAGTGACCGCAAATGTGTCCCGGCCTTCACCTTTATTGATCTGGACAGCTGTGCCCTGGTCATGGACTACTGGTGAGTCTCCACTGGGTGTTCCCCACATGAACCAGGAGGCCCAGGCCTCCTGCAGCAGCCACATCACTGACTAGGGTTGGGGCCCCCAGAAAGCCTCCTTGGAAAGATCTGGAAAGATCTCCCCTCTGGCTCCAAGGCCCCTGTGTCTTCCTCCCTCCAGGCTGCTTCTCTCTCAGAGTCAACTCTCATGGTCACTCAGAGCTTGGAGTCATTGTCACTTCCCCACTCAAGACAGCCATCAAATCCCAGCAGAGGCTTGTCTGGCTGTGGCTGAGGAGTCCGGGGACATCACAGTCTATCGGGAGGGGTGACTTAACAAAGGGCAGCTGGAGGACTAGGGATTCATTTATTTTGGTTGAAAAAAAAAATTGAATTCTGGTTCAGTGATGGGCTGGACCTGGTCTGCCTGTGTTTGTTGGCTCCTCAGGTGTCTGGGCAAGGCCAGAAAGTCTTGTTGGAACTGCCCTTGCTTCCAAGGAGAAGGGAGGCTATTGGGGGGCAAGGGAGGGAGTGGAGGCTCCACAGCCTCTTTTTTTCTTTTTCTTTTTCTTTTTGACTCAGAGTCTTGCTCTGTCTCTCAGGCTGGAGTGCAGTGGCACCATCTCAGCTCACTACAGCCTCTACCTCCCGAGTAGCTGGGATTGCAGGTGCCTGCCACCATGTTTGGCTAATTTTTGTATTTTTAGTAGAGATGAGGTTTCACCATGTTGGCCAGGCTGGTCTCGAACTTCTGACCTCAGGTGATTAAGCTGCCTTGGCCTCCCAGAGTGCTGGGATTACAGGTGTGAGCCACCGCGCCCGGCCCACACAGCCTCTTCTCTCCATCTTTCTGCAGGTCTGACTATCACAGAGGTGTATTCTGCTATGGGGACGCCAAAGGCAATGTCATTGTCTTCACCTCCGAAAACGTGACCAGTGGGCTGTTCAACCCCCGTATTCTCCCCAGGGCCTCCAAGTGGGGTAGCTAAGATGCTGGGGAAGGGGGCGGAGGCCTGGGCATGGCCTAGACGTGGGTGCTGAGCCCATCCTGGTGCCTCTGGGAAGGCATCTGCTTCTGAGCGCAGGATGCATGCAGCTCAGCACAAAGGGAGAGGTGATGGGGGACAGCAGAAGACCACGGGGGCTGGGGAGGGGTCGGCCTCTCTGAGGATGGGAGGCTGTGCGGGTGTGGTCTAGGGGTGCAGGACGCTTCTCACTCCAGCACAATGCCAGTGGTGGGACCCTGGGGAAGTCCCTCATCCACTCTGATCCTGGTTGACAGCGCTGATGCTAACTTCCTCGGATGGTGGTGAGGAGGCATGTGCTCTCCTTGGCTCTAGTGCTGCCTTTGGTGGGCAGGGGCTGTCCTGGATGTGGGCTCTGTGGAGCCTGGGCACTGGCTGGCTGGCGTGGGTGAGTGGGCACAGCTGCTAGAGTCTAGAGCACCCCTTGCTGAGCGCTTTGCGTGCATCATCTCCCATAGCTGCCCCTACTGTCAGGAGGGAGGAGCCACTGCTGCAGCCCATAAGAGGCAGAAAGGGTGAGGTCACCTGCACACACCCCTGCCCGGTGAGCGGGGGCTGAGATCTGAAGTCCGGCCGCCTGCCTTGGAGTCTGTGCTTTTAGCCTTTTGCTGGGCTGCATCCCACACTGATTAAACGCAGGAGGAAGTCACTGGAGCTGTTCTGCCCAGGTCGCTAGATCCTCAGAGGACACGGCTCAGGGCTGCCTAGGAAACTCATCTGAACTGGAGCGCCTCTAGAATCCAGCCTTGCACGCACAGTGCTGCCTCTCCAGGTTGCCTCACATCCACCAGGAGGCCCAGGCCACCAGGGACCCCATACAGGGACACTGACCCCTCTTCCAGCCAGAGTTACTAAGCAGGACACTCCAGGGGTTCCCAGGCCTTGGTAACAGGCCCCTGGCAGGCTTGTTGGGGCAGTGTCCAGATCCTGTCCTGGACACAGCAGTGGGCCGGCACCCTGCTTGCCTCATCGGCCTCGGGGGCCTGCCCTGCCCTGAGCCGCCCACTTAGCTGCTTGAGCCTAGTCACTCTGTACTGCCCTGGGAACTAGCATGGGAGGTTGTGGTGGTCTTTGAGCCACATGGTGAATGGGATATCGAGGGAGGCAGATGACACTGGAATGTTAGGCAGGAGTCCTTCCATGCCAAGTTCTGATTGAAGGCTGGGGACAAACATGAAGATGAGGTGGGCCCAGTATGTGAACTTGGGAGGAGATGGACAGACCCAGGTATGCACCCCAGCTCTGTGTGACCTGGAGCCAATTGCTTAACCTCTCTGGCCTCAGTTCCCTTATTCAAATAGGGATGGCCCTACTTCATTGATAGCTTTGGTATAAGAAACGTGGAACGTTAGGCACCTAGTAAGTGCACAGTGACTATGACTTCTTCCCTGCCCTCCTTCACAGCCCTAGTAGGAGAGACAGGCAGGTAAACTGATGATTAAACCACAGCGCATCATAAAGCTGACTCCTGCCTGTGCGCATGCACGACCAGCCCCACTCTGGCAGTCTTGGGCAACTTTCTACCCCTCCCTGGGACTTACTTTGCAAGCTTCCTCCTGCCCTTGCAAGATGGGGCTGGTGACTTTGCAGCAGTATAATATTTGGCATGAGCCCCCAGATCCATCCTTGCTGCCTCTTCCCTCCTCCATCCCTGGGAGGGAACCTGAGCCTAGACTGCTCCAGCATTTGCGACCTGCCTCCTTAAACTACTCTGACAGAGGACCCATGTTTGTCCCTAACAGTGCTGGCTCCACTCGTCTGTGTCAGATTGGCTTTGCTTTCCCTGAGGATCCATCAACTGCTGGCCTTGAATGGTTTCAGCGGCCGGGAGATGCTAAGCTCCATGAGGGCTGCACCTGGCATGTCTGAATTCCTCTAGACAGGCTTGTTTTATTTAAGTGTGTGTGTGTTTTTTTTGTTTTTTTTTTTTAAATTTTGAGACAAGGTCATACTCTGTTGCTGGAGTGTAGTGATATGATCATAGCTCACTACAGCTTTAATCTCTTGGGCTCAAGTGATCCTCCCACCTCAGCCTCCCAAGTAGCTGGGACCACAAGCACGCCACCACCACTTCTGGCTAATTTTTAATTTTTTTGATTTTTTTGTAGAGATGGGTTCTCACTGTGTTGTCCAGGCTGGTTTTTGTTTTTTTTTGTTTTGTTTTTTTGCAGAGTCTTGCTCTGTCGCCCAGGCTGGAGTGCAATGATGCGATCTCGGCTCACTGCTACCTTCGCCTTTCGAGTTCAAGTGATTCTCCCACCTCAGCCTCCTAAGTAGCTGGGATTACAGGTGCATGCCACCATGCCCAGCTAATTTTTGTATTTTTGTAGAGACAGGGTTTCACTATGCTGGCCAGGCTGGTGTCTTAACTCCTGGCCTCAAGTGACCTTCCCACCTTGGCCTCCTAAAGGGCTGGGATTACAAGTGTGAGCCACTGCGCTTGGCCCAGACATGCTTATTTTATGATGCATACCTGGAACTTCTACTTTTTGGAACCTGTGCTTTCTGGACAAGGAGTGCATGTAGTTTGAGGCATGATGGCGAACTCCCAAGTGATGACTTGTCAGAATAAAAAGAGCCTAGAGTCTCAATTCCTTTTCCACTCCAGCAAAGATGGAGCTCCTTAATAAAGAATCAGCTTGTTTAGATTGCAGCACCTAGGAAGCATGAGGTGCCCTGAAGTCTGGTTCTAGTTCTGCCATGCACTGGCAGGGGTACTCTAGGAGGCAGCATTGATCTGCCTGAGTCTTTTTCCTGGGGCGGGGGCACTCCGCTGAGCTCACCAGGACACAGTGAGGCGCCAGTGAGGGTTTGGGTGGAAAAGCCTTTTGAGAAGCACTGGAGTTGCAAGCCAACTTAAGACGTTTTTGAGGCTTTGCTTGCCGAGCAAAGGGGGAAAGCTGCTGATGTGGACCTTGATTTTTTCCCCTGTCAGATCACTGGATCAAAGTTTCCATGCGGAAACTCTTAAATGAGAAGTCTTCTTTGTATAGAAGCTACCGGCTGAAGGTGAGTTGTTTCTTTCCTTGGCCTGTTACAATGGTAATTATCTGTACACACACACCACTCAAAATAAATACAAAAAGTAGATTTACTCCCTGGGTTCAGTCTTAGCCCTTGGGGTTCAGTCTCTGGAAACAGATTGTGGCAGCTGTTGGATCCTGCCAGCTGCATCTGCAGACCACATCTCAGTGTGGCCATGCCCCTCTCACCACCGCCATGGCTAAGCCCTGGTCCTGGCCAACACTGCCTCGCTCCTGGATGGCTGCAGTGGCCTCTAGCTGGGTTCCCCACTTCCTTTCTTCATGCAGCACTGTCTCCATTCAGGGCCAGAGGAATGATGAGTTAGAAATACAGTTGAGTCACCCTGGTAGCTTCTCATCACATTTGGAACATAATCTCAAGTCCTTACCACGGCTGTCAGGACATGAGGTGATCTGGCCCCTGCTTGCAAGCTCTGGGCTTGTTTTCAACCTTCTTTCTCCCCATTTGCTCTCCTGCAGAGGCACAGGCTCCTCTGCTGTTCCCTGAATGCGCTCAGCCCCTTCCCGCCTCTGTGCCTCGGCATGTGCTGCGCCTTCAGGCTGCAGGGCTCTCCCCGAAGGTACCTGTATTCCCCCTATCTACTTCTTGTGGTCCCAACCAGCCATCCTAGGACAGCCCTGTGCCCGCCTCTGCTTTCATCCCTTCACCGCAGTGTTTCCCAGCTCCCAGCTTTGTGTGGTCTGACCATTGATTCCTCATGCTGTCACCTTCACGAGATCGATGGCTCCTCGAGGGCAGGGACTTTGTGCTCTCGGTTGTCTCCAGTGCCTAAAATAGTACCCTGCACTTGGTGGGCTCCCAATACGTTTGCTGCACAAATGAATGAATGAATGAATGACGCACTCTGGGCGGTCTGGGTGGTCCAACAGGCCTGCACTATTTTTTTTTTTTTTTTTTGAGTCAGGGCCTTACTCTGTTGCCCTGGCTGGCATGCAGTGGTGTGATCATGGCTCACTGCTGCCTTGACCTCCCGGGCTGATCCTCCCACCTCAGCCCCCGAGTAGCTGGGAATACAAGTACCACACCCAGCTAATCTTTTTATTCTTTTTTTGAGACGGGGCCTCACTGTGTTGCCCAGGCTGGTCTAGCTACCTTGGCCTCCCAAAGTATCTTAAATTCAGTGCCTTCATTGTGACAGACGCTTGGTGACAGTGTGTGTAAAACCCAGCTCAGGGTCTTGCATGTAGAAAGCACTGAAGAAATATTTGATGAACCAATGTCTCCAACCTGCCTTTTCCAATCTTGTCCCGGAGAGGAAAATCTCTAGATTGGGAGGCCAAGCGCTGGTCCAAGTCACAGAGCTGGGGCCAGAGAATTCAGAGCCCAGCCAGCCCCTTCGACTGCGTGTCATCTTTTGTGGCTCAAGTTGCAGTGAAATGAACATTCTCTTGCCCTCTGTGCTTCCGTGAGCAGTCCACTGTATGACAAACATGGAGGGTGGCAGTGGGCCAGGAGCACAGCCCATCTGTAGAGGTGGCTCCATGTGGATAACTCGACTGTGGCCTGGACAGACTCGAATTCATCCTTTCTCCCCTCGCGGGAGAGGATTAGTATGGGCCTGACCCTCCCCATCCTCTAACTGACAGGATTTAAAATGAAACTACGCTTGTGTGCTCTTAAACATTTTCAGTGACAAGTGATGGCCAGTGCTGGTCCTAGGAACTGGGCCAGGACTGCGGGGCCACATCACTTTGTGATCGCGAGGAGAAGGGTATTAGACTCCGTGATATCTGGGCGCCTCCAGTCCCAACACCTGGTCGTGTTCTGGGGGCTGGGCCTGGAAAGTTGTCCTTGGGTGGAGTCTCTCACCATTGCTACTGTCTTCCCAGGCTCTCCATCCCAACTGGTGTCAGCAGGTCAAGTTCATCCCCCAGATGAACCTGGTGGTCTCCTGTTCAGCTGTCGAGAAGTCCTCTCTGGTGCTGACAGTATTGCCAGCCAAAGCCTCTGAGAAACCCAAGTAAGAAGTGCTTCTCTCCTGGCTAAGGCAGTGGAGTTGGAAGGAAGGGGGGTGGTGAGTGGACTGTGGGGGCTGACAGTGGCAGATGGTGGTTGGTGTATGGACTCTGGAGTTTAGTTTTTTCAGCATCGCCACCAGCAGCACAGTGAGAACACAGTAGTCTCTTTTATCTCTCGATCTATATGCAAAGCTCAACATAGAAGCCAGCACAGAGTGAGTGGCAGTCAGTGAAATGTTTTCTGAATGAAGGGATGACTGTGAGTTACTTCCTCCTCTGTGACCCTCAGTTCCCTCATCTGTGAAAGGGTATGAAAGCGTGTACCTCACTTCTTCAAGGGTTGTGTGAGGGAATCCTCTGTGGTATGTGTTCAGTAACTGGCAGCGTTGGTTCTTTGCAGATGGTTCCAATCTGTTTCCTTCAGTCTAGATTCCTCTACCCCAGAGTGCGGTTTTTTCTTTTCTTTTGAAAAACCAGTTAATCACCAGGTGTGATGGCTCACGCCTGTAATCCCAGCACTTTGGGAGGCTGAGGCGGGCGGATCACAAGGTCAGGAGATCGAGACCATCCTGGCTAACATGGTGAAACCCCATCTCTACTAAAAATACCAAAAAAAAAAAAAAAAATTAGCTGGGCGTGGTGGTGGGCACCTGTAGTCCCAGCGACTCTGGAGGCTGAGGCAGGAGAATGGTGCGAACCCAGGAGGCGGAGCTTGCAGTGAGCCGAGATTACGCCACTGCACTCCAGCTTGGGCGACAGAGCAAGACTCCGTCTCAAAAAAAAAAACAAAAGAAAAACCAGTTAATCACACAAGAATGTATTAAATGCATTGTCCATGTAAAAAATGAAAACATTATAAAGAAGGTTAGAGTCCTGAGGGGCCCCCTCTTTATTCAATCCCCATTCCTTGACACAGTTATCAGAAGCTACCACTTCTGTTTTGTTTTGTTTGTTTGTTTGTTTGTTTGTTTGTGATGGAGTTTCGCTCTTCTTGCCCAGGCTAGAGTGCAATGGTGCGATCTCGGCTTGCCACAACCTCCGCCTCCCGGGTTCAAGCGATTCTCCTGCCTCAGCCTCCCAAGTAGCTGGGATTACAGGCATGCACCACCATGCCTGGCTAATTTTGCATTTTTAGTAGAAACAGGGTTTCTCTTTTTTTTTTTTTTTTTTTTTTTGAGACGGAGTCCGCTCTGTCGCCCAGGCTGGAGTGCAGTGGCCGGATCTCAGCTCACTGCAAGCTCTGCCTCCCGGGTTTACGCCATTCTCCTGCCTCAGCCTCTCAAGTAGCTGGGACTACAGGCGCCCGCCACCTCGCCCGGCTACTTTTTTGTATTTTTTTAGTAGAGACGGGGTTTCACCGTGTTAGGCAGGATGGTCTCGATCTCCTGACCTCGTGATCCGCCCGTCTCGGCCTCCCAAAGTGCTGGGATTACAGGCTTGAGCCACTGCACCCGGCCTGAGACAGGGTTTCTCTATGTTGGTCAGGCTGGTCTCGAACTCCTGACCTCAGGTGATAGGCCCACCTCGGCCTCCCAAAGTGCTGGGATTACAGGCGTGAGCCACTGCACCTGGCCTACTTCTGTTCTTTTACTGTGTGGCTTCTACTGTGCAGTTTATGGTAGATCAACTGGCAGGTATGTTCTCTGGTGGAGTCTTCCTGCTGGGTTGCTCTTGCCCCTATAGTTTTCCTCCAGCCCCTAGATTTTTCCTTGAGCCTTTGGGGCTGTGACATTTTGCTCCTGCACAGTCTGAAGAATGAGCCTCAGGAGAGTCTTTTTTGGGGAACAGCAGGAGATTTGAGGCCTGTATTGGGGAAAGACTGGGTGAGGCCAGGGTTGGGTTGGGGCAGAGACCGAGGGCCATTTAGACCCCTGTCTGTCCCTTTCTGTCCTGGTTGTTTTTCAGGGGAAATTTCAATCCTGAGATGATAAAGCTAATTTAGTCCAACTCCTCATTTTACAGATGGGAAACCCGAAGCTTAGGGAGGGGAAGTGACTGTCTTAGAGCAGACACTTGAGCTGGAGTTTTATCTTGGGCCTGTATTATATGTCCAGTGCCTTTTTTTCTTTTGTTTTTGAGACGGAGTCTTGCTCTGTCACCAGGCTGGAGTGCAGTGGCACAATCTCAGCTCACTGTAACCTCCGCCTCCTGGGTTCAAGCGATTCTCCTGCCTCAGCCTCCTTAGTAGCTGGGACTACAGGCGTGTGCCCCCATGCCCAGCTAATTTTTGTATTTTTGGTAGATACGGGGTTTCACCATGTTGGCCAGGATGGTCTCAATCTCTTGACTTTGTGATTTGCCCACCTCGGCTTCCCAAAGTGCTGGGATTACAGGCGTGAGCCACCGCGCCTGGCCTTTTTAACCAAATAGTGCACTGCGTGCATTTCTAGACAAGTCCTGGACCTCTCTGCAGGCTGGAAAAGGGGGCCTCCGGGAATGTCTGATGTGAAGGGGAAGTTTCAGTCTTGGGTTCAGTGCTTTGAATGGGGCCTTGTGGTGGGAGTTTGCTTGGAGTTGTTTGCTGAGGCTATCTGTCTGCACTGGTGGTGATATCACTTAGTGTATAGCAGGGGTGGCCAATCTTTTGGCTTCCCTGGGTCACACTGGAAGAAGAATTGTCTTGAGTCACACATAAAATACACTAACACTAACAATAGCTGATGAGCTAAATAAAAATCACAAAAAAATCTCATAATGTTATAAGAAAGTGTATGAATTTGTGTTGGGCCACATTCAGAGCTGTCCTGGGTTGCATGAGGCCCGTGGGCCGTGAGCTGGACAAGCTTGGTGGATATGTGTTTCATTCAGATCTTGTTTTATTGAGTCCCAGTGGCAGGAGGATATCAGGGGGTCACCTCACCAGGGCCAGGAGGGCTTCCGTGGGCTGGGCCTGCTGCCTTCCTGACCTCACTGCCTCCACCTGCCCACTCAGCTCCACTGGCCTCCTTCAGGCTCAGGCATGCTCCTGCCCCAGGGCCTTTGCACAGCTCTGCTGTCTGTGGTATGCTCTTGTAATTGATTGACAGATTGAGACAGAGTCTTGCTGCGACACCCAGGCTGCAGTGCGGTGGTGTGATCTCAGCTCACTGCAATCTCCACCTCCCGGGTTCAAGAGATTCTCCTGCCTCAGCCTCCTGAGTAGCTGGGATTACAAGCACGTGCCATCATGCCCGGCTAATATTTGTATATTTAGTAGAGACGGGGTTTCACCATTTGGGGTGGTCTTGATCTCTTGATCTTGTGATTCACCCGCCTTGGCCTCCCAAAGTGCTGGGATTACAGGCGTGAGCCACTGCGCCCAGCCTTGTTTTTTAAATTAATTAATTTTAAATTAATATTTTCATTATAAAAAGTTTCAAACACACACAAAAAGAGATAAAATAGTATTAATTCTTTCATATCACTTAGTAGTTAGTCCACATTAATATTTCCCTAAGTACCTCAGAGTATCTTCTTACAATATTCAGAAGTAGATATAAGCGCGGTTCTGGGATGGTTTTGGGCAGAGAACTAGTGTGGTCTGACTTGTATGTTGCAGGTAGAGTGTCCATGGGCAGAGGTGGCAGTGGGGACGCCAGTGAAGAGGCCACTGCAATAGTTGAGGCTGTATAGGATGGTGGTCTGGAGCTGGGCTGTGTTATAGGATGAAGGGATTGGGGATGTATTTTTGGGGTAGGGTAGAGAATATATTTACACAAACACAGAGACACATGCTCCCTTCCTTCAGCCTGGGTGATAGAGCTCTTAAGACCCTGTCTTCAGAAAAGACAAAAGACTCCATTTGGGCCAGACACGGTGGCTCACGCCTGTAATCCTAGCACTTAGGGAGGCCAAGGCAGGAGGATCCCTTGAGGCCAGGAGTTCAAGACCGGCCTGGGCAACACAGCAAGATCCCATCTATACAAAAAATTTAAAAATTAGCTGAGAGTGGTGGCACACCCATGCATTCTTGGCTGCATGCAGTGCAATGTACAGGCCAGCAGGTGGCACCATTGACCACTTGCTGGTCTCCCGTTTTGGCAATGCCATCTTAGGGCATAGCCTCTGCGGGTGGGGCCTGGCATTGGCACCCCAACCTCTGCCTATGGAGTCAGCCTCAGCCTCCAAGGCAGCGTGGGCCTGAGGGTCTGGCTTCCCTGCAGCCAGCCTCACCCGAGTTCTCAGATGGTTCGAGCCAGGAGCAAATCTGATGGAGCGGGTGTGGTGGCAGGAGCTGGTGCTGAGTGTGTGGACTGACCCCCGAAGTCTCCCCCACTGTCCCCTCTTCCTTCACTTCTGCCACCACCACCTAGTTGAAGCCACCGTCATATCCCACCTGAACTGCTTGCCGTGGCCCTCTTAGCAGCCTCGCTGCGTCCCCTCAGGCCACGTTCCCTGACCCGCAGCCATCGACAGATCTGATCCAGCCAGGGCCCTGTATGGAGCCTTCAGTGGCTCCTGGCCAGGGCTGTGGATCCGGCCCTGCCCGCCTCTCCCATGTCCTCTCATGCCCTCTCCTCCTGGCCCACCTGGTGCCCACCACACCAGCCTTGCACAGGCTGCTCCCTCCAACTGAAGCCTCACCCCTCCCCTGGGCTCCCTGGGGCCGACTCCTTCTCACCCTTCAGGTCTCCGCAGCCCTGGACCCTACTCAGAGAGGCCGGCAGAAGTGAGCCTCCTTCTGTTGTCCTCCGTCAAAGCCATGTGCTTATGTCCCTTGCAGGACTTGCCATGATTTGTAAATGTCCGTCTCCCTTTGGTGTGTCCACTTACTCCTGCTGTTTCCCTCTAGAAGGAAAACCCCCTGTGGCAGAAGCCTCATGTCTGTGCCCCTGGTAATCCTGGCGGGAGTAGGAGCCAGGAAATCTTTGTTGATGAATATGTGAATCGGCCTGAAATAATTTCTACTAACATTCTAGTGACCATTCTTCCAGAACATTGTTTGGCAGCACATTTACTTGTGGAGGGAGGAATATCTTGTTTGGCAATAAATGAAATGTGTGTATTGCCATCTGTTCTCTTTGAAGCTTTGATTTTTAGAGGAATCCTTGTGGCTCTGGAGAGATGATTTAAAGGGGAGCAAGGCTGGAGATGAAGGAACTGGCTGGGAGGCTGATACGGCAAAGTCAGGGGCCTGGGCTAGCAGCGGTCATGGGAGCGGAGGGAAATGGGTAAGGAGGACTTGGGGCCAGGCTGGATAATGGGAGCCATGATGTCCAGGTTGACGCCCAGGCACCTGGCTTAGGTCCCCCGGGAGTGGTGGAGGAGCCGGGTGAGGGGTCAGTTCAGTGGAGGGCATGCTGTGTCGGGGGGCCGGGGGCCCTATTACAGATGCCTTTGAATGGAGTTTTTGGTTTTTTTTTTTTCCTGAGGCAGGGTCTTGTTTTGTCACCCAGGCTGGAGCTCACTGTAACCTCAAACTCCCAGGCTCAAGCGATCCTCCTGCCTCACCTTCATAAGTAGCTGGGACTGCAGGTGTACCATCACGCCCAGCTAATTTTTAATTTTTTTGTATAGTTGGGATCTGGCTGTGTTGCCCAGGCTGGTCTTGAACTCCTGACCTCAAGGGATGCTCCTGCCTCGGCCTGCCAAAGTGCTGGGATTACAGGCATGAGCCACCGTGTCTGGCCTGAATGGAGTCTTTTTGTGTTTTTCGTGGACAGGTTCTTGCCCTGTCCCCCAGGCTGGAGTGCAGTGGCATGATCACAGCTTACTGCAGCCTCAACCTCCTGGGTTCTAGCAATCCTCCCACCTCAGCCTTGCAAGTATTTGGGACTACAGGTGCGTGCCACCAAGCCCAGCTAATTTATTTTTTGTAGAGGCGTGCGCTTACTATGTTGCTCAGGCTGGTCTTGAACTCCTGGGCTCAAGCAGTCCTCCTCCCTCGGCCTCCTAAAGTGCTGGAATTACAGGTGTGAGCCACCACACCTGAATAGAGTTTTGTTTTGTTTTGTTTTTTGTTTTGTTTTTGTTTTTTTTTGTGGGGTGGGGGCAGGGGGTACTGAGTCTTTCTCTGTCGCCCAGGCTGGAGTGCAGTGGTGCAATCTTGGCTCACTGCAATCTCCACCTCCCAGGTCCAAGCGATTCTCCTGCCTCAGCTTCCCGAGTAGCTGGGATTACAGGCACATACCAGCATGCCTGGCTAATTTTTGTATTTTTAGTAGAGATGAGGTTTTACCATGTTGGTCAGGCTGGTCTGGAACTTCTGACCTCAGGTGATCCGGCCGCCTTGGCCTCCCAAAGTGCTGGGATTATAGGTGTGAGCCACTGTGCCCGGCCAGAATGGGGTTTTGAAGAGTGTAGAAGAAGGAAGGGGCGGGGCAGGATGTTGTGGATGAGAGGCATGGGCATGGGCATAGGCACAGAGCATCTGGGGCTCTCAGGCCTGTGAGGGCTGCGGGGCCCTGGGCTTCCTGGAACTCCTGTCTGGGCCTCTCTGGCCCTCTGAGCCTCACCTGGCCCTGATGAGCCTCTGCTCTCCTGGATCACTGCTTACTGAACTTCCTGTCACCTCCTGCCGTGTCCACCCTAGGTCTGAATCCTGACCCCTGTGTGGGTGGAGTAATATTTTTTCTTCACCCATTGCAAGGTTTATGGCTGAGACCCTGATAACAAAAGGCAGATGAACAAGAGAAAAGCATGCACATTTACGTTTCATGTGACATGGGAGCCTTCCGGGAAAAAAAACAGAGAGACAGGGACGCCTGTGTATTTTTATGCGAAGTTTGGTGAAGAATGGACAGTCATGCAGGATGATTGGACTAGTACCATCTGATGGCAGTAAACTCTTTGTCCAGATGCCTCTCTGTGTCCCTGTGTCTTCAGAAATAAGGACATTCTGGCTGGGTTCAGTGGCTCGTGCCTGTAATCCCAGCACTTTGGGAGGCCATGGTGGGCGGCTCACCTGAGATCAGGAGTTCCAGACCCGCCTGGCCAACATGGTGAAAGCCCGTCTCTACTAAAAATACAAAAATTAGCCAGGCGTGCTGGCAGATACCTGTAATCCCAGCCACTCGGGAGGCTGAGGCAGGAGAATCACTTGAACCTGGGAGGCGGAGGTTGCAGTGAGCCAAGATTGCACCACTGCACTCCAGCCTGGGCGACAGAATGAGACTCTGTCTCAAAAAAAAAAAAAAAAAGGGACATTCCTTTCCCCCAGGTATAGGTATAGAGTGGGCACCAGTGGAATCAGTGTTCTATGGCCTGCTTCAGAGAGAAGGCTAGGGGAAGGCAAGTGTGGCCCTCCCCGGCTTTTTTCTTGATTTGTATCATGGATGGGAAGATGCCTGTCCCAGTACAGTTGATGTGAAAATCAAACTTGCCCTTGGCATGATGCCAGATGCTTCACAAATGTCAGGAGTAGCTCCTGCCTGGGAGCCGTCTATACCTGGAAAGTGGCATCTGCCCTGTGGGCTGTTGGTTTGGGGTCGGGACCAGGCTGCTGCTTTTCCTGTGGTGCTGAGCCCTGACCTGGCGGCAGAGGGAATGCTGGGTGGTCTCTGGGGCTGCTCCTCTCCTAGAATGGAGAGGTAGTGACTCCTCCCTAGACCTCCTGGGAGGCTCTGCCTCCAGCTCCTCCCACCCCAGGGTCAGTCTCAGAGGCTCTCTTAGGGCCACTGCTCCCGGCCCTGCAGCCCTCACTCCTTTGATATTGTAGGTTGTCAGTGCTGCATGTAAGGAAAGGGATTCTTTGCTTTGATTACTGCCCAGAGAGGAACTTCCTGGGTAAGTCATCTTCATGTCACCCAGAAGCTGCTGGAGGGAGGGCTGCTGGGGATGGGGGGACCACCAGAGCTCAGGAGAGGGCTGCGCAGCTTCTGGTCCTGCTGCTCTTGTCCCCACTTCTGGGCACCACCTTCACCAGTGGGTGAAGGTCCCCAGTGGAGGCCCCTGGGATTGACACCCACGTCTTGACCCCAGTGACTGGTGGCTACGATGCCTTCATCCGCCTGTGGAACCCCTTTGTCTCAAAGAGGCCCGTGTGGCTGATGAAGGGACACCAGACCTCAGTGACACACATCCTCGTGGACAGCAGGAACAGCAGCATCCTCATCAGTGTCTCCAAGGACAAGGTCTGCCCCGACAGTCCGCCCGACTCCTTCTGTTCCTCAGGGAAACACATTAGCCAGAGGAATGGCATGACCTCCCTGCCCACAGCCCCACATCTGGCCAAAGGCCTAGGAGGGGGCCTCAGGTGGAAGGAAGACGAGGGTGGCCATGAGCCTCTGAGCATGTCCCCAGAGCTGGGTTCCTAGGTAGCACAGCCTGGCTTCTTACTTTGTGACCCTGGCAAGTCCTTCCCTTTTCTGAGCCTCAGTCTCCCCATCCAAAGAATGGGCTGTTGAGTAGTTTAGAGAACCAGCAGCAAAACAGCAGTGCGGCATCTGGCGCAGGGGAGTTGTGCAATGCATGGCAGCCGTTTGCCTGTGCTGCCCTGCCCTCGATCTTCACCTCTCAGCTGCTCTAGTGACCCCTCCTCAGCTGCCTGGTCATCAGGGCCGGGCTTGGCCTTTCCCACATGCCAGGGCTCCCACTCGGGACCTGCCACTGTGCTCCTCTGCAGCTGTAGGCTCAGGATACTGCCCAGTCTGCTGGGCTGTGGTCCTGCAGTGCTTGGGGCCCTCTTTAGGGGACAGGTTATGTTTTCTGGGACTCTGGAGATGAATTGTCAGGGCCCTCAGGGTCACCCAGACCACCCTCTCCAACATATCCACACACCCTCCTGTCTGGAATTTTCCCAGAAGCCCTGGGAGCTGGGATCATCGCCTCTGATGAAGGGTCTGAGTCTGGGGGCATGGGGACAGGGACGGGCTCCCTGAGGTCCCCAGTCAGCCACGGGCAGAGGATGCCTCCAAGAAGTGAGGGTCTTGGAAGGACTTCTGTGGGGCCCTCTAGGGAAGGTTCCTTCACCTGGGAGGAATGGGAGGGGCTCCTCTGGGGACAGGCAGGTCACTGTGGCAACTATGTTGGTAGCCACTGTCGGACTGTGTCCCAGGCTGGAGTGGCAGCAAGGGAGGGCCTGGGGCCAGCATGTGCTGCCTGGCTTGGCTTTTGTGCCCAGCCAGTGAATTCAGCTGCTCCAGCAGGGTGGAGGCCTGGGGGCAGGCTGGGGGGTGGAGCTGTGCCCGGCCCTCACTCACTGTGTGCTTGGGTTATCTGAGCACAAGAGTAGCCTCTCTGCTGCTGGGTGTGACGGTGCCAACACCATGTGTGTGTGTTGGAAGTGCTTGGACGGACGATGTGCCCTGGGCTTGTCCGCCGGAGGCACCCCCAAGGCTTCAGGAGCCAGCTACATCCCCGAGCACCCATGCTCAGCCTCTTGCCTATTTCCCATCCCCCAGAATATTCGTGTGTGGGACATGCTGGACTACATATGCCTCCAGTCCTTCTGCGGGAAGTTTTTTGCCCTGGGAAACTGCCCCATCACCAGTGCCTACTTCTTCGAGAAGGACAATACCCTCATCTGCAGCACCTACTCAGTGAGTGCTGTCCCAGGAGGGAGTGGGGTCGAGGCCACAGGTAGAGGGCCAGGGTCTGAATCCCATGAGACACCCAAGGGGTGGCCGCGTCCTGTCCCTCCTGGGACTGCTGAAGTGGCTGGACTCTGTGGCCTGGCCTATGAGGGGCCGTGTCTTGGGATTTCCTGAAATCCTGTTTCTAGGCCTCCAGCCTGTCACTGTCTCTGCAGCTGCTGCTGCTGTCTGCTCTGTCCCCACTCAGCTTCTTCCTCTGGGAGCCACCCTGAACCTCAGGCCTGTTAGGAGCCCTTCTTCCATGTTTTCTTGGCCCCGTTCCTTCTCTCAGTCACGAGCCTCATAACTCTGTCCTGTCACTATTACATGACTGTTTTTCCTGCTAAGTCATGAACTCTGGGAAACAGGGGCCACATCTGAGCAGCGTCTCTGCAGGAGAGACCCTGGGGGAAACTGAGTCACAGAGAGGAAGGCCATCTGTGACTCAGGACTCAGCTGGAACCCCTGCGAGGTCTGTACTGACCCTGGAGGACAGGAAAGATTGGGACAAGCACGAGGGGCTTCTGTGGAGGATGGGGGTAAGGGTGCCCACAATAAGATGGAGGCTTGGGGAGCTGCAAGGCTGAGCCACAGCCCATAAATGGGAGCAGAAGTCCAGAAAGGAGACGTGGGGGCCACGGTGCTTGAGCTCCACGAAGGCCTCCCATGCTCTGTGGGCTGAACCACCCTGGCTGGTGATACATTTGTCATCCTTATGCACTTGGCTAGCTCTCCCGTAGACGGCAGTTTTCTTGAGAAGGAAGGTCATGGGTTCCTTTATCTCCTTGCTGAGTGCCAGACAGGTGGTCAGCATTTGTTGAATTAAATAGGCCTTTGAAGTTCATTTCAGATCACCAAACCTTATCAACCCCCTGCCTTTTGTCGTGAACTGAGAATATATGACAAAGATACTGTCCCATCTCTCTAGGAACCCACAGGGTAGAAGAAAAACAGATAATTTCAGTAGAAAGTGCTGTGTGTTATGGTAGAGTTGTGTGCTAAGTGCTTTCTGGAACACAGAGGAATCCTTAGCAACGGGGAGGCAGGGAGGGCTTCCCGGAGGGAACATCTGATCGAGGCTTCAGCTTCTCAGAAGTTATAAGGTGAAAGGGACCTTGGACTTGGAATTTGGGGTTCTAGGAACACTAGGGTTTGGGAGGCTCAGTCCCGGGGAGCGGGAGCCACGGAGTAGGGTGGGGGTATCTGCAGGCCTGCTGAGGAACCTGGAGTCTGCTGGAATCAGGCCTGCGTGTGGTCAGGATGTCTTGATGTTGTGATTTATTGGAAGGTTTTCCCGGCGGCCCATCATTGTGAGCAGGGCCCTTCTGACAGACGAGCTCTCTGCCCTTTCCTCACCTACAGATTGGGATCCTAAAAGGGTACTTAGAGGCCCAGGGGCCTATCAAAGCAAGGAAGAGGACCACTCATTGCTCACCCCTGTGTGCTGTCCTCTACAGCAAGATCTTTAAGCAGGTGAGTGGCCCAGGGCTCGCCTCTGAGGCTGGTAGGAATACCAGGTGACACAGGAGAGGACCAGACCTCCCTGTGTGCCTGGGTCTGTAGTCAGCTCCCATGGCACACTGGGAACTCTTACAGCCTTGATGGTGGTGCTGGGGCGGTGGGATAGACACAGAAAGCAGCTCTGCAGATGGGCTGGCGTGGGATCAGCTCGGAGCTCCATCCATTAGCCATGGGCTCGCCTAACTCTCCTGAGCCTCATGCCCTTGGCAGAGCGCCTTGGGTCGGCTCTGGACCGGGCCTTCTTTCCATGGAGTGTGAGACGGAGGGCTAGTTGTGGGGCGCTTTCCTAGGTTCCCAGAGTGGGTGCTGTTCTTGGGCATCTCTTTCCAGGGAAGCCATAACTTGGCTTTGTTCATTGTAGGAAGGGAGGGAGGCCCAGGCGCAGGCAGCACCTTGGTCCTGCGTGGAGTCTCTGGGTTGGACAGGGCAGCTGGGCATGAGGAGTTGCTTCTGAGGTGTGAGGACAGGAGGGGCTGCTGCCTGAGGCCCTCTGCTCACTCCCACCCACTGGGGCCTCTTGTCTGGCCCAGGCTCTGGACAGGGGCGCTGCATTGGGTGTACAAGCTTGGAGCCCCCCATTCTGGGCTTCTCTCCCATCCTGGCTCCTGCCACCACCATCTCTCACTGCCTTAGGGCTTAGGCTCTTCAGTACCTTAAAAAAGTTTCTTTAGAATTAAAAAAAAAAAAAGGCCGGGTGCGGTGGCTCAAGCCTGTAATCCCAGCACTTTGGGAGGCCAAGACGGGCAGATCACAAGGTCAGGGGATCGAGACCACCCTGGCTAACATGGTGAAACCCACCCTGGCTAACACGGTGAAACCCTATCTCTACTAAAAAAAAATACAAAAAACTAGCCAGGCGAGGTGGCGGGCGCCTGTAGTCCCAGCTACTTGGGAGGCTGAGGCAGGAGAATGGCGTAAACCCGGGAGGCGGAGCTTGCAGTGAGCTGAGATCCGGCCACTGCACTCCAGCCTGGGCGACAGAGCGAGACTCCGTCTCAAAAAAAAAAAAAAAAAATTTTTTCAGCTTTTCTAGATGTTCTCATTAGGGAGGGTTGGTCCAAAACCACCTCACCGGCTACTTTTTTTTTTTTTTTTTGCCAGGGTCTTGCTCTGTTGCCCAGGCTGGAGTGCAGTGGGATCTCGGCTCACTGCAACCTCTGCCTCCTGGGTTCAAGTGATTCTCCTGCCTCAGCCCCCCAAGTAGCTGGGCTTACAGGCATGCACCACCACCCCCGGCTAATTTTTGTATTTTTAGTAGAGACAGGGTTTCAGCATGTTGGCCAGGCTGGTCTCAAACTTCTGACCTCAAGTGATCCACCCACCTCGGCCTCCTAAAGTTTTAGGATTACAGGCATGAGCCACTGCACCCGGCCTCACCTGCTATTCTTGCATTATAACAATGGTCATGGTGGCAAAATGTTTCATTGAGTGGCATGACCATCCTTATTCTCAACATTTCCCTACTTAGGAGCAGTTAGTTTATTTCTTATTTTTTTGACGGGGTGGTCACGATTAATGTTGCTTCAGTAATGTCTTTTCCACATAGGGATTATTTTCTTTGGCTAGATCCTGGTAAGTGCCATTTCTGAGTTAACAGGTCTTCACCAAATGTTCCAGTTTGCACTGCCCTGTGATACAGGGCAGAGGAGGTCCTGTTGTCAAGAGTGGCTTATGCTATAGCAGGGGGCCCTGAACGTCCGTTTTTTCAGTGGGTGGAGGGGAGGGGCCAAGGCAGGCTAGAGACCACCCTTGGGAGTGGAGTCCCCGGCCTCTCCAGCAGCCCCCAGCTGTGTGCTCTCCACAGGTGGTGAGTGGCTGCCTGCGCGGCATCGTGAGTGTGTGGGAGGTCGTGACGGGCAGGAAGACGATGGAGTTCTCTGTGTCTGGGGGCCAGCACGTGGAGCTGACCGCCATGGCCCTGGATGAGTCAGAGCGGTGCCTGCTCACAGGTTTGCGGGATGGCACAATGAAGATGTGGAACTACAACATTGGCAAATGCCTGTTGACCTTTCCCAATCCGGACCAGCTGGAGGTCAGTCTTGCTTGTTAACTAGAGCCAGGGACAGCCTCTTGGGAAGCAAAGCACAGCTCTTGTGACCCTGGGATGCACTATTTTTGGACCTCTCTGAAAGGGTGTTCATCATAGTCAGGTGGCCTGGCTTCAAACCTCCCGGAGCCTCTGTGTCTCAGGCATGAAATGAAGACAGCTAACAGTGCCTGGACTAATGGGTTTCCACTAAGGTTAGCTACTGTTGCTCTTTAAATTTGCTAGCACTTCTCATTCCTCATACTGGAGCTTTGGATTGCATTTCTAGCAGTGGCATCAGTTAATTCACAGCCACCCATGGTCACCCCTATTTGGGAAATGCCTGACAGTATTATTATAGGGCCGGTCCATGGGAGTGGCATAGGACAAAGCCAGCAGTTCCACCCTAACTTTTGTGACACAGACCTTTAACCAACTCAGAATGTGTACTTAGCTGGCCAGGCAGTGGCTCATGCCTGTAATCTCAGCACTTTGGAAGGTCGAGGCAGGGGGATCACCTGAAGCCAGGAGTTCGAGACCAGCCTGGCTAATATGGTGAAACCCCCATCTCTACTAAAAATACAAAAAAAAAAAAAAATTAGCCAGGCGTGGTGGTGGCTGCCTGTAATCCCAGCTACTCAGGAAGCTGCGGCAGGACAAACTGGGAGGTGGAGGCTGCAGTGAGCCGAGATCGCGCCATTGCACTCCAGCCTGGGCTGCAAGAGTGAAACTCCATCTTAAAAAAAAAGAAAAGAAAAGAAAAGAAAGTGTACTTAGCCAAGACGCCAGGGGTTGAGTACTGCTCCAGATCCTATCACTCAGTAATGACTTGACCTTAGCCAGGTCACTTGCCCATTTCCCAGCTATTCTCTCTGAAAAATGGACGTGGATGCCTATCCTATCTGCCTACCCTAAGTCCATCAAATGAGGGAATAGGATGTGAGCGCATGATGAAAAATACATGGTGATATCAACTGTAGGCGATTCTCATCATCATTGAGAGGTTTGACTTCTTGCTGGCACCTTTAGGAAGGCATTTAGGGCCCAGAGCCATTTTCTCTGAGAAGTTTTCTAATTCTGTTTTCTTTCATTTTCAACAGATTAGTGGGATTATCCATATGAACAAAGTGTTCTATGTGACAGGATGGAGTAAGAGAATCACGCATTTTCTGTGAGTAGAAAGCATGCATGGTGAGTAGGTCCCAGTAGCTGCGTGTTCTCTCTTCAGATGGGTTCCTCCATTCCGAGCTTTCCTGGTGGTTGGAACACCATGCAGGAAGTTAGTGGTGGTTAATGACTGTTGCTTCATCTGCTCATCCATCCATTCATTCATTATTCATTGAGGCTAATATATTCTTGGCCTTTTGCTAGGTGCCTGGGATGGGTATAAACAAGAATGTTGGAGTCTTTATCCTCTTGGAGTATCTAGTTCAGTGGGGGAATGTCTTAGTCCATTCGGGCTGCTGTAACAGAATATCATAGACTGAGTTGCTTATAAACAACATAAATTTATTTATCAGAGTTCTGGAGATGGGGAAGTTCCAGACAAGGTGCCAGCAGATTTGCTGCCTGGTGAGGGCCCACTTCCTGATTCATAGACAGCTGTCTTCTTACTGTAAGCTTACATGGTGGAAGGGGTAAGAAATCTCTCTGGGGTGTCCTTTATAAGGGCACTAATCCCATTCATGAGGGCTCCATTTTCATGACCTCATCACCTCCCAAGGCCCCACCTCCAAATATGCTCACCTTGGGGATTAGGTTTCAATATATGAATTTTGGGACCAAAATTCAATCTCTGGCATTCCATCCCTGACTTCCCAAAATTCATGTCCTTCTCTCATGCAAAATATATTCATTTCATCCCAGTAGCCCCCAAAGTCTTAATTTGTTCCAATATCAACTTTAACGTCTAAGTCCAAAATATCATCTAAATATCACCTAAATAAAATATGGGTGAGTCTCAAGGTACAATTCATTCTGAAGCGGATTCCCCTCTAGCTGTGAACCTGTGATACTAACATGCTACGTACTTCCAAAATAGAATGGTGGGACAGGCATAGGATAGATACAAGGGAGAGAGAGGAAAGGAGAAAGGAGGGACAGGTCCTGAGCAAGTCAAAAATCCATCGGGGCAAATACTAGTAGACCTTAAATCTCAAAGATAATCCTCTTCGGCTTGCTGCCCTGCCCTTCAGGACTGCTGGGGTGGCAGTTCTGCCCCTGCAGCTTTGCCAGGCAGGTGATCAGAACCCTAAGACTCTGGGCAGCCCTACACCTACAGATTTGGGGAGCCTTGCCCCCCTGGTGGCTCTATGCCTGGGCCCTGCCCCTGTGGCACTTCCCCGCATGAGCCCCCTGGCCCTGTGGGGCTGCAATTCCAAGGCTGTGGCTCTGCTGGGAGGCCCTGTCCTTTGAAATCTAGGTAGTGGAGGCAGCCATGTCCTCCCAGCTCTGCTGAGTGCAACCCATGCTGTACCATGGTCCACAGGAGCCACACCTAGAGTGGTCAAGGAGCATGAAGAATGGAGCCTGTGAAGTTAGGCGATGATGGTAAAGTGTACTGTGGTCCCATGGGCACTGGTGGCCATTCCCTTGAAACCATTCTGCCCCCAGGGCCCTTGTACTCTCTGGTGATGGGAGGGACAGTCCTAACGATTTCTGAATTGCCTTCAGGGTCATTCTTTCATTGTCTTGGAGAACAGCACTGGCTTCTGTTGGGTTGGCTGATCCATACTAATCTCATCAAACAGTGCTTGGCTATGTCTTTAATGATTGTATTAGTTTGTTTTCACACTGCTATAAAGAATGCCTGAGACTGGGTAATTTATGAAGAAAAAAGGTTTAATTGACTCACAGTTCTGCATGGCTAGGAGGGGGCCTCAGGAGACTTACAATCATAGTGAAGGGGAAGCAAGGCACATCTTACATGGTGGCAGGAGAGACTGCAAGGGAAACTGCCACTTTTAAACCATCAGATCTTGTGAGAACTCACTCACTATCACGAGAACAGCATGAGGGAAACTGCCCCCATGATCCATTCACCTCCTACCAGGTCCCTCCCTCGACATATAGGGATTACAATTCAAGATGAGGTTTGGGTGGGGACACAGAGCCAAACCATATCAATGTTCTGTCCTGAACAGGCTTTCTCATTCCTTTCTATATGGATAGGATGAATCTTTTAAGTTCTGCTTCCTTTTTTTTTTTTTTTTTTTTTTTTAAAGACATGGGGTCTCACCCTGTCACCCAGGCTGGAGTGTAGTCATGCAGTTATAGCTCACAGCAGCCTCAGCTCCTCCCACCCCAGCCTCCAGGGTAGCTAGGACTACAGGCACATACCACCATGCCTGGCTAATTAAAAAAATTTTTTTTATAGATATGGGGTCTTGCTATGTTACCCAAGGTGGTCTTAAACTCCTGGCTTCAAGCAATCCTCCTGTCTTGGCCTCCCAAAGTACTGGGTTACAGGCATGTGCTCCTGGATTCTGCTTCCTTTTTGATTAACAGTTTGGTTTTTAAACCATTTCTCTCTTGTTGCATTTTATTATAAGTTGTCAGGAGGAACCAGGCAACTCCTTCATTATGTTACATAGAAATTTCCTCAGTGAAATATCCAATTTCTTATCTTGCAAGTTCTACCTGCCTCAAAACACTAGAACACAAATATGATTCAGCCAAGTTCTTTGCCATTTTGTAACAAGTAGGACCTTTCCTCTAGTTTCCAATAACGTTTCTCATTTCTGTCAAGACTTCACCAGAATGGTCTTTAACATCCATATTTCTACCAAAATTCTGTTCAGGATTACTTAGGTATTCTCTTAAGAATACTGAGGCTTTCTCTGCATCTGTCCTCTTTTCTTTCTAGGCCCTCACTGAAATCACCCTTAATGGTCTATGCATAGCAATGCAGGCTTTTTCTAGCATGGACCTTCCATCCTCTACCTATTACCTACTTTTTTTTTTTTTTTTTTTTTAAGACAGAGTCTTGCTTTATGGCCCAGGCTGGAGTGCAGTAGTGCAGTCTTGGCTCACTACAACCTCCACCTCCCAGGTTCAAGTGATTCTCGTGCTTCAGCCTCCCAGGTAGCTGGGATTATAAGTGTGTGCCACCACAGCTGGCTAATTTTTTGTATTTTTAGTAGAGACAGGGTTTCGTCATGTTGGCCAAGCTGGTCTTGAACTCCTGGCCTCAAGTGATCCACCTGTCTCAGTTCCCAAAGTGCTGGGATTACAGGCGTGAGCCACCCTGCCTAGCTGACATTACCTGGTTCTAAAACCACTTCTGACATTTTTAGGTATTTGTTACCATTTTCTGTCTTCATTCACTCAGGCTGTTATAACAGAATACCATAGAGTAGGTGGCGTATAACAACAGAAAATTATTTCTTACAGTTCTGAAGGAAATTCTTAGATCAAAGCACTGGCAAATTCAGTGACTGCTGAGGGCCACTTCCTGGTTCATAGATGGCCATTTTCTTACATGGTAAAGAGGACAAGGGATCTCTTTGAGCCTCTTATTTTTGTTTTATTTTTTTGAGAGACAGGATCTTGCTCTATTGCCCAGGCTGGAGTGCAGTGGCATAATTACAGCTCACTGCAGCCTTGAACTCCTGGGCTCAAGTGATCCTTCTGCCTCAGCCTCCTGAATAGCTAGGACTACAAGTGTGTGTCACTATGCCTGGCTAATTAAAATTTTTTTTTGTAGAGATGTGGTCTTGCTCTGTTGCCCAGGCTGGTCTTGAACTCCTGGCCTCAAACAATTCTCCTTCCTTGGCCCCTCAAAGTGCTGGGATTATAGGCATGAGCCGCCATGCCTAGCTTAGGACCTCTTTTATGAAGGCACTGATTCCATTTGTGAGGGTTTTGCCCATCTATCCTAATAACCTTCCAAAGGCCACACCTGTGAATATTCTCACATTGAGGATTAGGTTTTAACATAAATTTTTGGAGAATATGAATGTTCAGTCTATATCAAGAAGGCAGGTACTAATCAAATATTAATACTTTCATTTATAATTATAAAGTATATTAAGTGCCATGGAAAAGTAGGAGTTTCTATGAGGGTTGAATGCGTGGAAACCTGATTTCTTCTTGGGGGCGGTGGTCAGGAAAGTCTCGGTGAAGGTGTGGTGGCTGGAGTGCAATCTGAAGCGTGAGAAGGAAGGGTCTCTGTGAAGTCTTTAGGATAGGATGAGTATTCCAGGCAGAAGGAACACTATGTTCAAGATCCCTTTCTTTTTAGAGACCCCTGTAAGGCCACTGTTCCCCCCCCTTTAAACCTTAATCCTTACCTAGTTGTCTGACTGGGGGTGTGTTACGCATTCATTATCCGTAGGATTAGTTTATGTAAAGCCCCTACGACAGGGCCTTTGCAGAAGGCACGTAGTAAGCGCTTAGTAAATGAGGTCAATGGGGCATGGCCTCAGCCTAGCCCTGACACCTAGGAGTATCCTCCTCTGAGTCGGCTCCCAGAATCCTCAAGGCTCCAGTGCTTCCCCAGTGGATGGAGCATTAAAGGCTGAGCTCTCAGCCCTCCTGCCTCTGGCCATGTGCACAGGTTCCACAAGACCAAGCCGGTGCTCTTATGCTACCACTGGCAGACCTACCACACGGAGGACATCCTGAGCATGGCCAAGTACCAGAACCAGTTCCTCGGGACCTCCTCCTACAGTGGGGACATCCTTTTCTGGAACACCGGCACACTCAAGCCCATCTTCAACTTCAATGCCTCTAGGAGTCCCTTGCCCTTGCAGCCCAAGAGGGTATGTTAACAGAAGCACACTCTCCTCCCACCCTTCTCTCAGCTGTGAACCAGAATCCTGTGGGGCAGGGAAGGTGGGGAGCACCCTGGGAAGCAGGAGGAATAACGGCAACTTGTTCTGGAGGGGGTGGGGAGCTTGGTTACGTAGGTGGTTAGTTTCTGTAATTATCCTCATTGGACAGATGAGAAAGTGGAGGCACAGGGAGGTTAAGCACCTTGCCTAAGGTCACACAGCCAAGGAGTAGATCCAAACCCAGGCAGTCTGACTTCAGAGGCTGGCAGTGCTGGTCCTGCCATCTTTAGTAGATTACTCACTCCTTTCCCATTGCTACTACACATTACCACTCTGGGCTCCCCAGTAGGGACTTAGGAAACCTATACAGTCTCCAAATTCCCATATCTCAGCAGATCAAAGCAGGAAGGGACCTTAGGGGCCGCCTCATCCAGTGGTTTTCCAAATGTGTTGGAGAGAGATGCTTCGGAGCTACTGCAGGGGGGCTCTGGTTGTTGGGGTTTCCCCCAGAATAGGTCAGCTTTTTGTCTATTTTATGCTTCGGAGGAGCTTCCCTTGAGATTAAAGAAAGCCTCAAAAATATTTGGAAACTACTGTCCATTTTACAGATGAGGAGACTGAGTTCCTCATGGGAGCAGTGTCTTGCCTGTGGGTACTCAGGGCATTGCAGCTGGCCAGGAATGGGGTTAGAAGCTCTGGTCTGATGCTTTTAAGGGGGCTAGGTTTCTGGGAAGCAAGCCCTGGGGGGCCGGAGGGCCCTGTGGTGTTGGCATTGATCTGGGGCAGCCCAGAATTTACCTCTAGGACATTGCAATGCCTTAGGGGCTGCTTTCTCCTTGGTACAGGTGAAAGATGTGAACAACTGCCTGCCTGAGAGCCACGGGCCCATCAGACCCTGTGTGGAGCGGGAGAAGTGGGCATACAAGACCCCCAGGAAGCTCTGCAGTCTCAGCCCCAAGTCTGCGGCCAATACCAACCTGAGGCGGAGCCTGGTGTCGGCTCCCCCAGTGATGAGGCGCTGGAGAGACAAGGAGCCAGTCAGGCCTGAGTCCCGGAAGGTGGGAGCAAGAGCCCAACCAGAAGGCTACCCTCACTTTCCAGCTGCCAGCATTCACACACCTGCTGTGTGTGTATTTTCTTATTGGGATGTACTTTTTCCAGAGTGCCTTTAGGTCCCTAAACTCACTTGTTTCGAACATTGTGGGCCTGGGCAGGGCACCCTCTGGTTTTAGTCCCACTGTGTCTAACCCGGAGCTGGGGCTAGGTCCCTTTCCAGGGCATGGCTAATACCAGGCCTAAAAGTCTGAAAGCTGAAAGGCAGAACCCAAAGAGAACACAACCCTGGAAACCTAAAATTGGAAGTTAGATCCTGGACTGCATTCTCAGTCCTCAAGCGCAAGTCACCTGACCTTGGCCCAGGGGCAGAGGGAGCCATGGGGGCCTCACCTGCTCGGAGACCAGGCTGCAAGAGTCTGAGACCCAGATACAGACAAACCACTTTCCTCCTCCTCTGAGCCTCATCTCTGCCCCAGGACCAGCCCTTCCAAGAATGACTGACAGTTCTATTTTGCGGCGAATAGGGAGAAAGAGAAGGAGGAGTTACTCTTTCCCTACTTGTAGGGGATGGCTCGCCTTTGAACTTTCAGCAGTGAGTACAGCATTCCAACAATCAGTGCAATAATCTCTTGTATGGGGCAGGAGGAACCAGTGAGATTGTTCTTGCAGTCAAAGTCTGATTTCCATTCCTAGGAGCTGAGGCTTGAGTGAGAAACACCACCTTCCCCAAACACACAATAATTGCTAGGCATAAGGCAGTCTAGACCTAGATCCAACATGGTCTGCTGGGATATAATTTTGCCGTAAGATGTGTACACTTGACCATAAGACGCTCATACCATCTTTGAGTTATCAGAGGTTAGACCACTGCTTTCAAATCTTCTAGGGAAATGGGTGTATAGGTATATTTGCCCCTCTATCCTTATTTTTATTTTTATTTTTTATTTTTGAGATGGAGTCTCACCCTGTCGCCCAGGCTGGAGTACAGTGGTGTGATCTTTGCTTAGCGCAACCTCTGTCTCCCAGGTTCAAGCGATTATCCTGCCTCAGTCTCCCTAGTAGCTGGGATTACAGGTGTGCACAACCATGCCTGGCTAAATTTTTTGTATTTTGATTGGAGACAGGGTTCGCCATGTTGGCCAGGCTGGTCTCAAACTCCTGGCCTGAAATTATCTGCCCGCCTCGGCCTCCCAAAGTGGTGGGATTACAGGTGTGAACCACCATGCCCGACCTTTATCCTCATTTTTAACCAGGATGGTCTCTTCCAGGACAAAGGAAGGGTCTTCCCCAAAGGCAAACTCAAGTCTCTGCCCCAATTTTGCTCTAGCAGAACTGCTGGGAACTTAAAGTGGAGGTTTCCCGGGATCCACTGAGTGCTGCTTTTTCCAGGGCAGTGTGCCTACTGCGGGGCCTCGGGAGGGCCGCTCTTTTGTCATCTTCCTCTGGTCTCTGGTCCCCCATGGGGAAGGGAAACGCCCTCATGGTGACTTGGGTGCCCATCTTTCTTTCCAGAAACCTTCCAGTGCTGCTGGCACATCCATGCAGCCAGGCAAGATCCGCAGCAAACAGTCCATTTACAAAGAGGATGAAACAAGAAAAGCAGAATTGCAGAAGAAAATGTTGTTTCAATCCAGTGCCTCGGTGGAGAAGGTTGGCCGTGATCAGCCAGGGAGTGGGATATGAGCCGGGGAGTGGGCCATTAAGATGGGGCTCGGGGGCCTGGGCTCTGGGCCTGGCCTGATTCTCCCCAGTGCCCAGAAGGCGTCTTGGAGAGGATGGAGCCGCTTGGGATACTGGAGCCAGGGCTGCAGTGTCTGGGGAGAGCTCCTGTATTAATTTGTTTTCATGCAGCTGATAAAGACATACCCAAGACTGGGAAGAAAAAGAGGTTTAACTGGACTTACAGTTCCACATGGCTAGGGAGACCTCACAATGATGGCGGGAGGCGAAAGGTGCTTCTTACATGGCAGAAGCAAGAGAAAACGAGAAGACGCAAAAGCAGAAACCCCTGATAAACCCATCAGATCTCGTGAGACTTACTCACTCTCATGAGAATGGCATGGGAAAGACCAGCCCCCATGATTCAGTTCCCTCCCTCTTGTTCCCTCCCACAACACGGGGGAATTCTGGGAGACACAGTTCAAGTTGAGATTTGAGTGCAGACACAGCCAAACCATATCAGTTCCCCAGGAGGTGGAGTTGGGGTGCCTAGGGAGGTGAGCAGTGTTCTCTCTGGACTGGGGGTAGCAGTGTCCTCTCTGGGCAGAGAGGAAGAGAGGTAGGAGAAGTGACATCTCCAGACTCTAGTTAGAATGCCCTCCTGTTAACTGGGAGAGTGTTTTATACCTAACAAGAGTTGGGTATGGATTCATCTTTGTTCTTCCTCTTGTACCTTCCCCTTTCTGACCCTGGACACCCCTCACTGATACTGACTGCCCGTCCTGAAGACACAAATCATAGTTGAGCTAGGGTGTGGGAGGCCTGCCCCATCATCTAGCTCCAGGGACCAGGACTTGAGAACAAGGGGGCAGTGCCCTGAGAGCTGGGTTTTGCAGTGTTGGCAGGGAGAGCAGGAGTGGCTACACACTCTCCTCCAGGTTCTGATTATTTCTCTCTCCTCCTTTTTTTTTTTTTTGTTTTCTTGAGACAGGGTCTCACTGTCACCCAGGCGGGAGTGCCATGGTGTGATCACAGCTCATTACAGCCTCAGCCTCCTGGGCTGAAGTGATCCTCCCACCTCAGCCTTGTGAGTAGCTGGGACTATAGGCATGCACCATTATGCCAAGCTATTTTTTTTTTTTTGTATTTTTTTGTAGAGATGGGGTCTCACTATGCTACCCATGCTGGTCTTGAACTCCTGGGCTCAAGTGATCCTCCTGGCTCAGCCTCCCAAAGTGTTGGGATTACAGATGTGAACCATTATACCCCGCCTCTTCCTTCTCTTTAAAAAAAAATACTTTAAATAACTTTTAAAAGTAATAATACTAGTTTATAATAAAAAAAGAAGTGTGTGTAAATGAAAAAATAAAAATAAAAGTCTCCTATGTCTCACTCACCCTATCCCATCTCACTCTCAACAGCAGCAGTCGCTGCTAGCAGATTGGCTTTAGCTTTGTTCTTTTTTTTTTTTTTTTTGACTAGTAATATAAAATGATAGCTACGTCCTGCCATTTGTTTTTTTCTATAAGTCTATAGCATGGATATACTTTCATAAGAGGGATTTAGATTCATCTTATTCTTTTGTTACCTTACTCTTTTTTTAAGATGGAGTTTTGCTCTGTCACCCAGGCTGGAGTGCAATATCAGCTCACTGCATCTCCGTGTCCTGAGTTCAAGTGATTCTCCTGCCTCAGCCTCCGGAGTAGCTGGGACCACAGGCACATGCCACCATGCCAGCTACTTTTTGCATTTTTAGTAGAAACGGGGTTTCACCATGTTGGCCAGGCTGGTCTCAAACTCCTGACCTCAGGTGATCCACCCGCCTCCGTTTCCCAAAGTGCTGGGATTACAGGCTTGAGCCACTGCACCCGGCCATCTTATTCTTTTTAACAACTGCCCGCTGCTGCATAACTTGGATGTATCAGGAACTATGAAGCTGGTCCTCTATGAATAGGTCTGTGGGTTAGTTCCAGTTTTTAGCTTTTAGGAGCAGGACTGCACTGAACATTCTTGCATGTACATTTCTGGGCACTAGTGTGAGTATATCGAGAGGATGGATTCTTGGAAGCAGAATTGCCAACAGTCCCATCCCTTTAAATCTGCGAAGTCAAGATAGATGGCTCAAAGCTTGATCTTTCAGGCTGGTGACCTAGTGCTGTCTGGACACTAGCATTCGCTACATGCCAGGCACTGGGGAAGGAGCAGTGAATGAAAGACATCTAGCCCCTGACCTCTGGAGCTGTCATTATAGTTGGGGCGAGATAGACAATTAACCAGCAAATAGAATAAAGGGCATGTCACAGAGTGAGTGAGGACAATGGAGGGCAAGAAAGCCGGGAAGAGGGCAGGGAGAACGGACATGGGAGGAGATGGCATTGCTGTTTTATGAATAGGCTAGTCAGGGAGGGCTTCACAGAGGAGGTGGCATCTGCAAAGAGCCTGAAGGAAGTGAGGAAACATGGCCTGCAGTTATCTGGAAGGAGGGTGATGCAGGCAGAGAAGGTAGCAGGTGCAAAGGCCCTTATGGGAGAGCTGGCATGGAATGTTCGAGAATGAGCACTTCTCTCTCTCTCTGCGTCTGTCTGTCTCTCATACTTTCTTCCTCTAATTAGAAAGTGATACATGTCCTTAATTAAAACTAAAAAAATTCAGGCAGAGAGCAGTGGCTCACACCTGTAATCCCAGCCCTTTGGGAGGCCAAGGTGGGAGGATTGCTTGAGCCCAGGAGTTCTAGACCAGCCTGGGCAACATGAGAACTCATCTCTACAAAAAATTTAAAAAATGAGCCAAGTTTGATAGTGTGCACAGTGCTCCCAGCTCCTTGGGAGGCTGAGTTGGGAGAATCACTTGAGCCTGCGAGGTCAAGACTGCAGTGAGCCGTGATTGTGCCACTGCACTCCAGCCTGGGCAACACAGCTAGACCTTGTCTCTTAAACAAACAAACCTGACCGGGTGCGATGGCTCACGCCTGCAATTCTAGCCCTTTGGAAGGCAGAGGTGGGCGGATTGCCTGAGCTCAGGAGTTCAAAACCAGCCTGGGCAACACAGTGAAGCCCCATCTCTACTAAAATACAAAAAATTAGCCAGGGGTGGCGGCATGCTCCTGTAGCCCCAGCTAGTCAGGAGGCAGAGGCAGGAGAATTGATTGAACCCAGGAGGCGGAGGTTGCAGTGAGCTGATATTGTGCCACTGCACTCCAGCCTGGGTGACACAGTGAGACTTGACTCCAAAACACCACCACCACCACCACAACCACCACCACCACCACCACCACCTATGAAAAAAATTCAAACTTTATACGAGTGTATAAAGTAAAAGAATGGCTGCTCCCTTCTTAGCCTTCAGAGGTAATTGCGTTAAGACGTGTTATAGCCTTCTAGAATTTTTCTGTGCATATACAAGTACATACATGTATGAAGGTATATATGTAAATATAGATATTCTTCACCGAATAATATCATATTGCATATATTATTCCAGGACTTGCTGTTTTTCACCTGACTCCTCATGGGCATCTCTTCATGATGGGGTTTACAGAGCCATGGCATTCCTTTTACTAGTCACATCATGTTCTGGGTACACTGCACAGAGTCTGTCTAGCCATCCGCTGCCACTGGTGGATGGCTAGGTGACCGGGTTTTGCCTCTATAGAAATCATTGCAATGAACATCCTTGTACATAAATTTTGGACCTCTTGTCTATTTCCAGATATAAAGCCCTAGGATTAGAAACATAGTCCTGGAAAGCTTTTGCTGTGTTGCATTATGTTTCAGTGATAACTAGTATTTATTGAGCTCTCAGTATCTGTCAGACAATGAACTTAACGGTTTACATGTGTTATTTTTGTTTTTCGAGACAGAGTCTCAGCTCTCTTGCCAAGGCTGGAGTGCAGTGGCACAATCACGGCTCACTGTGGCCTCCACTTCCCAGGCTCAAGCAATTCTCCCATCTCAACCTTTTGAGTATTAATAGCTGGGACCACAGGTGTGTGCTACTGTGCCTGGCTGGTTAAAAAAAAAATTATTTACAGAGATGGAGTCTCCTTATGTTGCCCAGGCTGGTCTTGACCTTCTGGGCTCAAGCAGTCCTCCTGCCTTGGCCTCCCAAAGTGCTGGGATTACAGTCATAAGCCACCATGCCCAGCTATATGTGTTGTTTTTATTTTGTCCATCAAACAGCCCTGGGAAGTATGTACTATTATTATTTATTTATTTATGAGGGATTTTTGTTTAATACATCTGAAAAGAATGAATGTGAAAGGAATGTTTAATACATCTGAAAAGAATGTACTATTATTATTATTCCCATTTTATGGCTGAAGAAATAGGCCCAGTGAGGTGAAGTGACTTGCCCAAGATTCTTGTGGCCAGAAAATGACAGAGCCAGGGCCTGATTCTAGGTCTATTTGTTTTTGAAGTTCAAGTTCTTTTAACTCTTTGTGCTGCCACTGTTGGGAATTCCTTGGGTTTTTTTATGTGGCTTGGTGATCTGCATGTAATAAGGATTTGTATCATGAATCTTGATTGAATTTTTGGCCAGATAATTACATGCAAAGGATCGAACATCTGTTGGTGAAATTTGAGGCACTGTGGCTGGCAGGGCTGTGTGTGTGTGTGTGTGGTGTGTGTGCCCCCTCTGGACGCTGACCCTCACCCCTGGCTTCAAGGTGTACAGTCTTCCACCCGCACCACTCCTTGAGCAGCAGGGTCCCTTCTGTCTGGGGCACTTGTGGGCAGAGTGAAGCATTTTAGTGTGGTGCCCTGGAGAGGGTCCAGAGTTCTTGGGTCACCTCTGATCTCAGCCTTTCCTTAGTGGAAGAGAGGCTTGGGTGGGCTGGGGTAAGGACACCTGACGGGGAGTGGGCGGGGATCTTACCTGTTGGGTCTTCCTTCCCATTTTTTCTGTCTGGCCATCCTGGAAGACTGTGAGGCATGGCAGAAAGAGCACTAGGAAGGAGTCCAGGATGCAGATCCAGGCCCAGCTGTGTCCCT